TCTACAATTATTCATGTATTTAAACATAGGAACCGTCCGGTTTGATGTGCTGGGCCTTTGGCACCTCCAGTATCTTCCAGAACTAGCAGCTGACAGCTGATTTAAATCATTTTACAGTGTCTAGCGTTTGATTATACTGATCAGCGTTTATATAGCCCTTAACAATATTGCAAATAGGTCATCCATACCCATCACTGTACAGCCTTATCTCTATTTACATGAGGCTTTCTTTCCCATGCAACATATGGTTTCAGTTTGAAAGTGCAGACTTACAGTAAACTGCATCATAACTGCACATGCTGTAAGCCATAACAGTACAACTGCTTGAGGAAGATTTCCCATACTCAGTAAACGTCTAATAGCTTCCAAAAATAATAATTTTATTTATAAATTTCTACCCTGTCTAATGTATTTGGGAAGAGAAATAAGGATTCTTACCCATCCATGCAAAAATTTTAGGTTTTTACTTATAAGGTGGTGCTCACGTTTGGAGAGGGCACAGAGGCATCGAGCTCAGGATCCTTTGTACCCTGAGGCAAATGGGATCTTTATTCTGCCTCGGTCCCCCTAGGTTTGATGCTCTTGCAGTCTGGTATATTAGATATTCTGAATAGCATAATTTACATTTTTGACATGCAAGTGTGGTGGGATCACCAGATTCCACAACAGGAACGGGAAGGTTTCTGAAAACCTAGTGCCCCAGGTCCCAGATGGAGACCTGGGTCTGCCCACATGAAGCATTTTGCCAGTACGCCAGCATAGGTGCAACGTGACACATGCCATTCATGCTTCTGAGATTCCAAGTGTTTTTTTTCCTCTTTCTTCCTTTCCCGACTCAACAAAGTTATCCATCACAGGCACAGAGTGAGAGGTGAAGAAAACGGTTTATGCTTAAGTGGCTGCCGGGAGAAACTCCTGGCTCCTTCACCAGGAATCGCTCAACCTGGAGCCCCTGCTCAAGCCCTAACTGGAAGCAACATTCCCAAACTGACCCTGCTTAAAGGATATGGTCCAGGAAACAACTTAGTCATCAACCAAATAAAACCTGCAGGCAATCAGGCTTCATCAATGCTGCCTCTTGAAGAGCAACCTAAGTAGCAAATTCTTGGCCTGAGGAAGCAAGCTGGCCTGCGATACGTACTCCTGACAGACACATCTGTTATCATGACCAATAATGAAGATCAGCTTTAAATACAGACTTTAAAACCTACAGAGAATAATGTAAACAGCCCACTGAGATGAAGAGGACAAGTTTACGCTCCTAGCATTACTGTTTTGCACTGGCTGTGGACTGAGAAAGCTGACACACTTGGTTAATCTCATCATTATTTGCTTTGCAATCATAAGGTTTGGGTTTTTTTTTCTTCCAGTAGATTTTTACAGCAGTTTAGAGATTCTGTAGCAAAACCTGTAACAGCAAAATTGCAATGTATTTGAATAGATGAACAGAAGTTACATGTTTGGCTGGGGAACAGGTTGGTGAGTGTCAAGTCTTTTCACTCTGCAGTGAACAATGAAGGCTAGCTCCAGGCCGAGCAATTTAGAGAATCATGTAAAAAAGTCACATGAGTGAACAGGTCTTTCTGAGCACAGTAAGCTTATAATTCATAACTCTTTTAACCTCTCCTCATCCTCTGTCTTGCTCTAGGATTTTTCATTTATTTCATTGGAAGTTTGTTATTCCATTTGGAAGTTTATGACTTCTTTGGCCAGTGACAACCTGATTATGGTTCCTCATTCCACGCATACCCAAACTTCTCTCACTACTTAGCAAGACGGTAAGGCAACCAGTGAAGGAGTGTCAGTCTTGTGACAGTCATTTGGTACAGCAGCAGCGTCTTTAGTTGATCAATTCAGCCTTCTCACTGTTTTTCTTTCCTGTTTAGTTGCTACCTGTATAACTCATATCTGATGCAAATTTATTGCTTGTACAAGTGAGGGACAATCACTGTACAGGGCCAGTTTCTTCATTTCTTTTTTTCTTTTGAAGGTAAGTAGCCCCGCTGAGACTAATGTGCATATTTATATGTTTGAAATACATTCTGCGTGTCTTGGAGAGTCCAGGTATGCCTTTCAGAACTAAGATCACAGTTCTATAAGACAGTACCCTGAGAAATGGAAAACAACAAAATTTTGGCCACTGAAATACAGCACAAGTCAGTAAAACAGAATTGCTCATCCTCCAAACAAGATACAAGGCGCAGGTTAAGAAGAGCAATCTCAGAATAAGCAAATAAGAAAAAGGGAACAGTCATATCTGCCTTATTTAAACGTGTCACTTTGCTGCATTTGCACCAAAAACATTTGCTTAGAATTGGGACATTTCCTGAAAGTTCTGCAAATCCATACTAGTGTTTGTGCCTTTGCCTTCTTTTCATAGTCTTGGATTTCAATAGCAATTGTTCCCATGGTTATGTTCAACATGGTCCTCTAAACATGGCCTGATTTTGCCTGCGGTATGTTTTGACACAATGGGTTTAGTTAAGGGAAGTAAGTTTGGGTGGTTTTGTTTGTGTCTTCTACATGGTTAAGATAATGCGCTGTGGCTGCAGCTTGTTACACGCATTATTTCCCTGACAATCATCATTGTCTCTTGCTTTGTGTCACCCAGCTTTGCTGTGTGCAAGCACCCTGAGCAGGGCCCATCTTCTCTCCGCATGTGCACCATGACTCTGTCAAGGAGGTCCCGGCTCACATCCGAACCCTTCTGTGTCAAATGCAAAACCAACATGATAAAAATAATAATACATCTATTATTTAAACTCCTGATCAAGAGAGATGCTTTGTGAAACGCTCCAGTTGAGCTTATTAAAATCCTCCTTGTCCTTAGGACGTATCCTTTGCTGTTATGTGTGGGTAACAGCGTACAGGCTTTTTCAGTTTGGGGGCCAAACTAAACAAATGAAAAATCATTTTGGGTTGTGTACAACTGAAAACATTTTATGCAAGCCAAAACAAAAGCATTGCCGCCTATGCATCCCCTGGAAAGACAAATTTAAAACAAAAATGCAATTTTAAAACAAAAAGTTTTGTCCAGATTGCAGCAACAACACACAATGGGCTTTCTGAACTATTTTCAGCTTTTCGGCAAACTTTTATCATTGACTTTGACATGAATTTGCTAATAGTTTGGCCATTCAGAAAGAAATGTTTTTCAGCAAATCCTGCATTTGCTAAAAATAGGACTCCCTCCTCAGCTGTGCACGGGGAGCACCAAGTTCTGTGTTGCTCTTGAAAGGACGCCGGCCTCCAGGAGGGCAGCAGCTCTTTAATATTCCTCCGTGCACTCACAGGAACTCCCCGCAGTTCTGCTCACTGTCTGCTGGGCAGGGGAGCATTTTTAAGCAATTTTGATTGTGTCGCGCGGCGGGTCGGCGCATTCCCTGCCGGGCAGCTCCCTCCGCTCCGAAGGAGCCGAGCGAGACGAGGCAGCGGCGTCTCAAGGCGCACACGCCGCCGGGCAGGGGCGGCACAGGGCCCACGCCAGCTCCATGACACGAGCCGCCCGCCGCGGCTTCCCTCCCGGCGAGGACTCGGTCATGGCGCACGTCGCTTAACGGGCACCGGCCGCGCCGCTGCGCGCGGACAAGATGGCGCCAGCCCCAGGCAGGCGGCCCGCGCTGTGCTCTCCGCTGAGCCCGCTAACCTTGGCCGCGTCTGCCACACAGTGGCTACCACGAAGAATAGCCGGAAAGCCACAGGACAAGGCTGCTAAACAAGAGGGCTGGAGGGGGATTTATTTTTCAGTTAGCCTGAAGTGTGACAAGCCCGCCCATGGTGGTGCATCCTCGGCTTCCAGAGCCCTCTGCTCTTGCCCGAACTCCCCTCTCCTTGAGGAGGAAAAAGCAGTAAATGCTTTTGTTAATTCTTCCCCCATTATTATGTGCTAAACAGATCACTTGAAAATCACACTAGCACAAGCAGGTATGTTCACAGTGCTATATCCTGCCATGGAAAAAAAAGAAATGGATCTTCTCAAATTCACTTGGCCTTTTCAGTAGCACATCCTGCCTTCAGGCAGGGAGGAATGCTGCTCTCCTCACGGCAGAGGGGGCAGAGAAGCTGCTGGCCTCAAGCCCCTTTTGGGCCATAATTAACAGACCCAGATTTATGGCATCCATAGGGACGTTGGTCAGGAGCACAGTGCAATAAGGTGCCTCCTGATGCATTTTCATGGTGAGCGGGAAACACGGATTTTGCCACAGCTCTGACCCACAAATGGTGTCAGATAACATCAAATCTTCCCCTAAGCAGTCAGGATTCAAACCAGGGTTGTGTCTCAGACCAAGTGCTGGTAACACTTGGCCAAGTTCCTTATCTTCCTTGAAAAGGACTGCAGCATTTAAGGTTGCAAAATGTACAGTTAGATAGCATTACTTTATATTTACAATCATCAAGCAGAGCTTGGTTTGAAAATATGGCTCTGTCATGCTATTTCTTTTGCTGAAAAAAAAAATGAGTTTCCACATTACTTGGAATGGAAAAATGATGGCCCTGTGCAGCTTTCCACACAACACAACTGCTGCTTGCACACATGTGAAACAGCTGGTTTGGGGGTTGGCTGACAGGAGAAAATCTTCATAATTTTCAGCCTTCCAGTCAGGATGCATAACCTGTAGGACTCTGCCTCCAGGTGCTACTATCTGAGCATTATTACTTATATATATTTCTACAAGGTCTGATTCACTGTCCACTGGAGCCAACGGCATATTTTCCTTTGAGTGACTCGCTGGTCACAGACGAGTGCCAGCAGGGAGCTGGCATCTCCGCTAAGTTTCAATTCAAGACATAAAAAAAGGCAGTACCTCTCCCAGAGAACTTGCAATCTAAATAGGGCATAGCAGGTAGTGGTAGTCTGCCGTCGTTTCCTGTTCCAAGCGAACAATTTGAATGTTCAGAAATTTCAGACACTTCTGGATGTTTAACATAACTGTCTTAGTATAGTTTGCCTAGGACATTCCAAAAGTTTTCTTTCCTCCATCTGATGACTGATGTTCCTAAGTTAGTTGAGAGGCATATTAGCACCAGAATGAACTTCTGAAAAAAAAAATATTTTAAAATCAATGAACTCAGCCAAGCACTTTCTGTATTGCCTCTGCTAATTCTGGAGCTAAGTATGTTTGAATAGAAATGTGTCTCCTTAACCTTTGTTTAATCAGTTGGCCGATTCTGCAGTGATCCTATGTTCTATGTCTGCAAAATGAGATTTGCTGCTACAGCTTTACTGCAGGGTCAAGTATGATGAAAAAGTATGTTGAGAGAGAGCCAAAGCCTTGTTTAAACACAGATGTCTTAAATATTACAGATGTCTTCCATGTTTTGTTTAGCAAATAGGATAGGGGGCTGAATAGAATTGATGATGAGGGAACCGTTCACTGTTCAATCTCCAATCCAAACAAGTAGACACAGAGAATTACTAATTACTTGTTTGCATCTGCTTATTTTAAATAGGTCACAATGAACAAATGTGCAGTTCTTAAAAACCTGCAACAACTGGAGAACTCATGGTTTTATCACATATACCAACCACTAAGAACTCCGCTTTTTACGGCATCAGATCCTTTAATTTGAGATTGGGAGGGAAGCATGAGTTGTTTTTTCTTTCACTGCATCTCTTATGTTGCTGAGGAGTTTAGGCCTTAGTTTAGCACATAGCAGTAAGAGAAAAATTTAGAAAATAAAAAGGAAAGTGAACCAAAAGTAGTTTGTGGAAGCACAGGGAGAACAGAGACAGAGACACCATTGACCTTTAGATATTTTGTGATGGAAAGGGAGTGCGCTAGTTACGGTAAGTATTTGGAAAGCTCTCACAGCTTCTTTGAGACTAAGAAGAATGAGCTTGGCAGTGTGGACTGCACTGTGGCCTTTTCATCCTTCCCAGTGATTGTTGTTTTCTTTGTGATTGACTTTCTCCTGAGAATTGAATTTAGTAGAATATTATTATATCTAGTGATTTCTTTCATGTAGATTAAAAATCTCTTCTTCAATATGGGCCTTCATTTTTGATTTTATCCATCTTTTCAAAAATGCTTTTCTGTTATTTTAAACACTACTTGCAATTAATAAATACTGGTTTTCACTGCTTGTTTTAATCTTCTTGCCTCACTGGCTCAACATTGCTTTGTCCCCACAATGTTTGACAACTATTGCTCTCCTACACTGATAACTTGCTGCTGTGCTAACAGTAGAATATTTTTAAGATCTTATACATTGAATTCTTGATATCTTTTGGATATCAAAGCTAACATATTGACATCAAGAGTCTTGTCCTGGCTATTCTCAGAGGCTTTTTAGATGACTTGGGGACAACACTTTTCACCATCTGCTGTGTGATTGTGCCAGCAATCTCAGACCAGCTGGAAATCAGCTTGCTGGCATTTATAAAATACTTTAACATCTTTGCAAGTGCAAAAACTTTATTTATAATTCTATGAGCTGAGGATTGTATTATCTAGATGTTTTGTTGTAATGTTTATATCACATTATAAGTTAAACTGTAGACGGTTTGTTGCTGCTATGTGAAGCCATCTTCACAGTCCTTCTGATTTAAGCAACTGTTCAGATGGTTCATATATAATATATTTGTTTGTATCTACGTGTATATATTAACATGCCTAAGGCATATCTAGAGGCTATGTAGGGCAGTAGTGGCACTGAACAAAGGCTGTATTGGTTTTAGTTCTTCAGTTATGTTGTGCTTCCACCTGTTCAACTTCCTCTAAAAAACCTACCATGGTTTTGCCTTTGGCCAGCAAGGAAAACTGCCTACAGTCATGTCTTCATGATATTGCTGCACAGATACTTATAGCACAGCAGCTATATGAATCTGAGCTCATTTCCTTGTGTGTACTCCTTAAGAGGGGAAAAAAGGAGAAGCATTCAGAGAACGGGGGAATATCTAATAAACTTACCGCTTGCATTGGTGCTGTGACCTTTCTGCACTGTCCATAGAAGGATAAATATGGGTACTTGTGAGAGGAACGACATCTTTATAAAACAGGGACATTAAGAGCGCTTCTCTTTAGCTCTTGCGCTTAGCCACATGGGCCCAGCTCGGGGTGTGAGGAGGCCATGGCAGGCGGGCGCGAGGCTGCGCCGGGTGCTCCCCATCGCCGCCACAACCGTGGTAACTGGCCGTGTGTCCGCCCTTACTGCACGTGCGGTAGCCTTTGCCACATGAAGTGAAACACACCCAGCCTTGTGTAACCAGAATTTTCTTTCACGTTTGCCCCTCTGGCTGTCAACCTTTTTAAACTGCTAAAGGGAAAACACAAGCAGCTGCCCCTGGTCTGTACAGGCTAAGAGGTGGGATGGAAACACCAGCGCCCATGGGAGGAGGCAGTTGGGAACCCCAACAGCCAACAGTCGCCTCTAGAAGCCTCCGGGTGCCTCAGGCCGAGGAGCTGCGGCTGCTCGCTGCCAGTCTGGGAAGATGCCCATGGAGAGGCCTGCCCAGGTAGGTGGCGAAAAGGGAATGATTTCCCTGCTGCTGTGTGTGTTACAACAGCATGAGCAGCAAGTGCAGAGTCAGGGGAAATGCGGGAGTAAAGCTAGGGAAGTGAGACAGAGAAGAAAAATACTTATGTAAAGGAGGAGTCATCAAAGAAGAGAGTGCCTCAGACTTCACCTTAGTGCAGTGCCTTCTCACCTAGATCGCAGAGCACTTTATAAGTAGAAGCCTTCCTGATGTCCCCTGAGGTGGATGTGGAGCATCCAATGCACAGATAAGGAATTAAGTTGCCAACAGATGCACAGTCAGTCAGACACAGGCTGAGCCCTCACTCCTCTGCTCTGTCCTTACCCCTTCCTCCCTTCTCCTCATCTCACCACTGTTACGTGGCGTTATGAGGCAGGGTCAGAAAGACTTTAAGTATAGAAGCTGACTGAATTCCCACAGTAAGAAACCTTATCAGAATCCCGACATCCTCCATTTCAGAAAAAGGTGTTGTTAGATATCCTTATTTCTTGTATAGCTGATAGAAATGCTTTCATAATAGGTTGTTAGACAAGAAACTCTGGAAGATTTCTTTTGTTTTAACAGATAGGCTCGCTGATCTTGTGTATCACAGCTACAACAATTTTAAAGACATGTCCTGTGTTTTCAGGAGACTCGTATTTCGTGAAAGGCAAGTTGACCCTATTACTGAGTGACCAGTTCTGTTGTTGTTTAGCGGCACAGGTGGTAGTTACAGAATCACTTTGGAGACATGGTTCTTAAATTTATCCTGCAAGCATTTCATTATAAAAAGGCATTGGAATACTGCAATTAAGACGTGACTTACAAACTATTTTTAGAATAAAATGGTGGGGTGGGCAACTTACGATTTTTATATACTTGAGGACAGTTCTTTCTCTTCCTCGCTCCAGTTTGATTTACCTTTCTTATACTGCTCCCTAGGTCCTTGTTTTTTCCCAGGGCTCATGCAACCTCCCTGCCTCATGGCAGGCACTAGAGGTGCTTCATCATCTGATCAAAATGCAAGTGCCTGCTATTCCGATGCATTTCCAGTCCTGTAATGGTATTATGTAGACTTTCCAGCAAAATGAAGAGAATCAAATGTATGTCCTTTAATGCTGATTGTGTGACATCAGTTCCAGACCTGCTTTTTTGGAGAGCTTTTCCTGATTTTTTCTTCACTGGAACATTTGGAAATTATCTGTTTTATTCTTTGGGGAAGCAGATAAGATTACAAATATAATCTGCTAATGAAAGCTATTTTGAAAATGATACAGTGAGGTTTTTTTGACCTTTCAAGTTCTGAATTTGAGCTTTGGCTCATTCAGTATCATCAAGGGCACTTATCTGGAGTTCTACACTGCTAGGATCTATTCAAACCAAGTAGGTAGATTTTCTAGGGAGATAAAGAGTAGGATCTAATCTAAATGTGTGATACAAACAGATCTAGTTTAAACACATCAGTCATCTGCGTGGATGGATGATGGGATGGATGGATTGAAGGATAAAAGCAGCTATAAAAAGCACTCTAACATGAATGAGAAAGCAGGAAGTTTACATTCATATTATAGAACTAGAGCATCAGAAATTTCTTTAATAATCACAGAAATTTTCCTGATGCACAAAGGTGTTTTTATTTTTTTTTAAGATGCTATTTAATGTCTTAGGTGCTAAGTGAATGCATTACATCTCCTGCCACAAAATTGCTATTTGTCTTACAGATATTTTTGAAAAAGCTATTTCAGTAACTAAAATGTATTTGTTGCCTCTCCCAATTAAAGGTAATTTAAGCTTCTCATGCTTTTCTAACAAAGTGGATGAAGAGAAAGCAAGGTTTAAAGCAATCAAATTGTACCTAAATTCACAAAATCTGGTAAGTTCCTTTCTATGGATTGGCATGTAGTAGTCACAATTTGTTCATTTCATGGACACAGAAACACTTACTGTGTTTTTTTATCTTATATTTGTATTAGGAGGATTTTTCTAGAGATGGAATAATGGATTAACCTGAATGTAACCTAGCATGTAAATGATGATAATTTGGATCTCCTTTATATGTTCGTTCTTTATTGGCATAATATTATTAGTAAAGATTCATTTTGTTTATCAAGAGCAGTTACCTAAAAACCAGTTTGTGTTCTGTTGTTTACATGGTGTTAGAACTGAAGGATGCAGAATCACGGAATTAGATGTCAGCCATTGTTAACAAGTGACCTTGAAATTTGCATACAGTAATGCATTTCACAAATGGTATTTCTTTGAAAAATAAAGCTGGGAACCCGTGGAAATGTGTACTTGTTGCTGACAGCCAGTCTTTGGGCACATTTTGAAGCTACTCTCAGCTTCTTACCAAGAAGTCTGCATTTCAGTTTCTTTTCTGTACGGGGAGCAGGTACAGAAGCTATCATAATCTTGCAGCCAGATGTTGATTCTAAAACTTAGATCTCTACTTTGTAAATGCACATTTGACACCTTCAGTTAATTGCAGCCTGGCACTTCAAATTTGATTGTTTTCTGATACAAGTGGATGATCCTAAATATTCTACATACATAAATGTCCTTTCATGCAGAAAGTACATTGCTTTGAGCTTGTATGCAAGTTATGATGCATGCAATGTTCTTTTCATTTTTTTTAATGCCATAATGTTGCACAAAGGCAGGCTTTGAATGAAATAATTGTAAATATCAGCTGACATTATCCTGCTGTTAGTATTTGCAGTCACTGCAAATAGCAAGATCAATATTTACAAAACAAGAAGCTCGTACTCTTCAAAGCTGGCAGGGATGCAATATGCTTTATAATGATAACTCCAAATCTGCTTTCAAAGACAAACAGTAACAATGACTTTTTGGCTTTAGTAGCCTGTTAAGTGTTTGGCTGATTTATTAATTTCAATGAAAGGTATAGCATAAGATTTTGTAAGCTAAACCATGTATTTTTCTTTCCTTTTCAAAGATGATCAACTGTTATTTATATAATATAGAGGGGGAAGATAGTTTGGAAACAAGAAGGAAGCTTCTACTGAGGTATAATTCTGCAGGGCTTGCTCCCACCGTTGAGATCTTCAACAGCACCTATTCTCAGATCTTCTACTTCAAACTGATAATGGTAACATTTCCTTTTTCCCAGTACATGCTGAATTAACATGAGTTGTAAAGTAGTGTCAATGACCATACGAACACAATTGTTTCATTAATTCTTTGTGTTGCTGCAGAACCTGTAGCATTCACATTGATGATTACAGTAGATATCCTACCCTTTATTTTTCTCTACTAGGCAGCTAGGTTAGCTTTGTAATTCTTTGCATGGTCTAGCTTTGCATAATTAGAGACAAGAGAACAAGAGAAACATGTTTAAGTAAGGCTTACTCCGCTCTGATTCATTCATCACTGATACAGTATTATGAAGTTCAGGGTTGAAATAGGAAACAATGCTTACTGAAAGGTAAGGTAAGTAGTGGCAGGTGGTGGCTCTTACAAAAGAGGGATGAACTGTAAAGGTTGAAGAAACAGGGAGTGGCAAATTCAAAGCTAGAACTTCCATTTGGGAATATTGAATCTACTTTGCCCAGAAAAGATGTAATGCTATGAGCACTGAAGTTTTCATGATCCTCTGCATACATCCTTTTAACTGAATGGAGGAATTAAATACAGAACAAACATGGAATTTAAGTTTGAGTTGTTCAAGTAGCTCTGCAGGCTTTCTTTAAGCTTCAGACAGATCGAAGGAGTTTACAGTTGAGTGTAATATATATGAATTTTAAGAAACTTATTCCACATCATCACAAAATTACAGAAGAATCTGAAATTTAGTCTTAGCTGTGACATATCTTCAAGACACATCAGGTGTTGTAACTACAGCCTGTCCATAGCAGGATGCCTCGCTGCTTTATTGACACTGATATCATTACAGGTGATGAAATTTGTTCTTCAAAGGCACTTTATACTGCTATAGCTGTTCTTACACAGAGAGAAGTTACTCTGACATGGATCGCCTTTTCAGTAGCACAATTGTACCCACATTAGTATTGAACTGATCTAATTGTTTTTCCAACTGGTATGCTTACATTAACTAAACCTGAAGGTTAGCCCAAAATTTCTGTATATGTTCAAGGGCTGGTGAATTTAGTATCATGTCAGATCTATGAACATGAGCCGTTTAAAAAAGAAAAAAAAAAAAAAAAAAGAGGAAAGGAAAAGAGAAAAAGAATGAAAAAAAAGGAACCTTTTTTGTCCAAATGCTTATAATGGTATATCCAAAGGTAGGTATTTCTCTGATCAGCCAAACAAAGGGTTGATATGTAGTCAGAGTTTAATGGGACAGAAACAAAAGCATAAATGACTCCCAAGAATCAGCTGAGCCTTATTGGCTTCAGGCACAGGTGATTTGAAGAAATTTGCTGCAAGGACTTTTTCCTCCAACTGTAATAGTGCAGTGTTTCATAGGATGTAGGCACATAATCTGGAAAAGGGAGAGTTTTTAAATATGATCTTTGCAAGAAAGTTTTAAAATCTCAATGCTGGTTTTTTTTTATTTCTAAAGCAAGATGAAGACCTTGAAAGTACTTGGAGCATCGATATTCCCAGAGTAAACATTACATATAATACTGGTAAGAATTTTAAAATAATACTTTATATCAGCACATTTTCTTTGGATTCTGTTGAGCTGTTTCTGGCTCTTTAATGTTGTCCCCAAATTGATTATCTTTCCTGTTTGTACTACTGTGTTAAATACTTAAATACTGTTTTACTTTTGCACATTTTTGTCCTCTGATATTGTAGCTGTTCTATAGGTGGTTGGATTTGCTAAACCTCTTAAAATGTAATTGTATCAGTGTATTTACTTTTGTTGCTTTGGTTTTTTTTTCATTATTTTCCAAGGTTTTGCTGGTAGGAATGAGATTATTTGTTAATGGATGGAAGTATTCATTGCTCATTGTAGAAGAAATAACTGGAGTTGAGTCTTAAAGAAAGTCTCTTTTGATAACAGCTCTTCCCCACTTGAGAGTCATATCCACGGTCACAGGGGTATATTTAGTGTCAAGCTCCTGGAGTTTTGTTCAGTAACACCCTGTTTCTTTCGGTATTGTTGCTCTTTATATTTGTCTTTCCTAATATACCTGATATTCTTATTTTCTGTGCAGATTGGCTTTAGCTTTCCTAGATTCAATCCTCAATAAAGTCCTTCAGGTGATCTCTTAGCGTGCCTTTAAGCCTGCGATCTCTCCTAATTTAGTGTCTGGTCACTTCAACACTTTCCAAGTTCTGCTTCCCTATCATTATTGCAGGTATTAAGGAAATCTGCACAGCACTGATCACTGATACTGAATTAAATGTCCCCACAGCCTAAGCTACTATCAGCTTACTCTGCAGAAGTGCTTTTCTGCAACTCTGTGGCTGCCCTAGTGGTAGTACCCTGCCATTAGGGTGGGCATGAGAGGAACTAAGATGCAGACAAGTTTGTGAAAAGTATTGTAACTCTGCAGTTGTGCAAATGAGCAGTTGATTTCGAAATCTTGATACCAGGCTTCTGCTGAAATAATCTTTAGCAGTGTGACAGAAATCATTTTGAATAAAACTGGGCATTTGTAACTCAAACCAGCTGATATTCCAAACACTCTAGCTTGATACCTTCTTTATTTGTTATTCTTTCATTTAACTTTCACTTGATGCAGCCAAAGACATTTTCAGTGAATATTGAGAGTAAGTGAACACTGTCTTTAACAAGTAAAACATCCAGGTATGCGACTTCTTGTATTTGTCATATTTAGCTGACTTATTATGAACTGTGTAGTTGTGTATTTTTTTTCTAGATATGTACTGACGTCCTTGCACAGTAAACAGTGGTTACTAAAAAAAGGTTCGGTGAAGAAAGTCCCTTCTGTGAGTATCATTCCTTTGTTGACCCGGAAAGATTTTACTAATACTCATTTCATGTTCAAACAGACATTGCTCCAATAGAGGAATGGTTCCTAAAATTCAGGATGCATCATGGATTAAATATGTTTCCCACTGAAGGAACGTTACTGGATATTCTCAGAGGTGAGAATAAGAGAAGCTCCATTTCATGGAATTCAGAACATTATCCCAGACATCTTTCCATTGAAACTCAATCTGTGCTACAGGAGGCTTCAAGTTGGGTTTCAGATTCTGCAGCTGTTAAGCCTAATTTTCAGTCTCCATGGTATTCTTTTTAATACAGAGGCATGGAAAGTTTTATTTAAGAAATATTTTTTTTAAAAAAAAAGTCTTTAAACTTCACACAAAGGATTTTTGTCATAGTATGTATACTAAACACCTTAGTATAATTGTTTCATGTTAAAAGCATGGCCTTATTTTCAGTGGTTTTTTTTCCTTAATATGTATATGTTTCTGAATGTATTCTTCCTTTTTCACTAGAGGAAAAGCTGTCTAAACAATTTATTTGCTTACGTGTTTACTATGCTTAACCTCCTGTCTACTATATTTTTTGTCCTAGTCCCCAGATCTGTAAAGCCTGACGACCGTTTCCTGTGTGTACAGCTTATTTGTGCTTTACCTGTGCTAAGCAGCTGGACTTTTCTCTTCCCCAGAACCAATTCTTCAATGGCAACTTGGTGAAAGAATACCCGCTGAGCACCTGGATGCTGTGCTGCCTCATGTAATAAATATCACGTTGTCGGCATCTCCTTGTGCTAATGATGTGGCAGTTATTGGTCTCATCTGTAATGCTACAGCTCCTGGTAAGTGTAGATTGTTGGGCTTTCACAAATGCACAGTGACTTTGACAGGAGAAAAGTAGTGAACATGTAAAAGGCCTGATACTTTCTGAATTAGTTATAACTTCTCAATTTACCTTCTGTAGTCATCTGTGTTCCTCTCAAATGAATTTAACCAATGAAGCAGTCTGGTATAATGATTTAAATAAGATTTAGGCATAACCAGAAAGAAAGTAAAATTATATTATTCTCTGTATTTTTATATATTTTGTAAATATATTCTAACTCTACCTATTGAGTTTTATTCCTTTGTCTAAAAAAGGCCGAGTATTTAAAAAAAAAAAAAAAAAAAAATCTAAAAAGGCTAGATGAAATGTTCTGAGCCAAGAAAGGACATTCAAAGGTCCAGGAGTGTTTAATTTAGAAATCAATAAAGGAGAAAAAGGTATATTTCTATAAAACATCAAAATTGTAGATGAAAGGCCTCTTGAGAATATGCTTTCAGAATGAGGACTCTCAGCTTCTCCTTTTGTTTTAAGGCAGGCTATAAATACATAGACATCATTATCTCATTATGTGTTGGGAAAAAGAATAATCTTGTTTTCAAGAGGGCTGTGTGGCTTTGCAGAGATGTGATCTCTGTTGTTCTTATATCCTCAGGTGGGATTCCTCTCTCTGAATTTAGTTATGTACAACTGGGCATCGTTTATGGCTTTGTTGCATAAACTTATTTTATAATCGAGCAAGAGAAATAAGCATTTTTAGGTAGCACAGTTCATTGCACTTAACTGTTGGTGAATGGCAGATAATTCACATGCTGACATTGCTTCTCTCAAAGGAAAATTAGGTCATTTGTTCAGGTGAAAATTCTTACGTGGTAGATATTTATGGTTAGATGAGATCAATTCTACCTCATTTCATGTCTGAATGAAATGTTAACTAGTCTCTCAACATCTCCAACCTAAAATGATTAAGAAGAAGATTCTTCTAAACTTCTCATGTACTTCTCTGTAGATTTGCTTGCAGCTTCCCTTCTCATTTGGACACCTGCCACTGGCCTGTACATCATGTTTTACCTTATATCCTGCTGGCTATGCCCAAATCCTGCATTTTTTTCCCCCCTGCAAATATCACAAGATTCAGCTTTTCCAACCTTTCACAGCATAAAAAGCCTCATCACTTTCTCTTGGTTCCATCTTCAGTGTTAGGAAAAGCTAGGGGAATCTCACATCTTCACCTGTATTCAGAGTGCTGCCACAAATGTCCTTGTTTCCTTGCCACTTGCACTGTTTTTCTTTAGTATAAATGTTCTCACAATAGCCTCACTGTACTCATTAAGTGTTTATGATATGTAAGACTTAGGTCTCCCACACAGTTGTTGAGTTTTCTACTGCATATTGTTTTTCTGGTGGTGTCACTCACTCCTTAGAATTTGCAGACGCTTTCAGAACTGTCTTATTGTTCCTCGTTGCTCAGATCTATCCTCAAAGCAGTCTGCTACACCAACAACTCCAAAATTTGTGGTCTACTTAGACTGCTACTCTCTTCCTCACTTAGACTGCTACTCTCTTCCTCACTTTCCAGATGGATACCTGAGGCACTGAGCAGTGATAGACCTGGCGGCAGTAATTCAGTATTTTATTCCTGTATCTAACAAGCAGTCCCTGTCTAAGATTTTGTGTTGATCGACGTCCAGATCCAGGAAAAAAGTCGCACTGTACAAGTGAATACTGTAGAAGTGTTAGGCAATTGCCTGCATTATCAAGGCCTTAAAACATCCTGTGAAAGTGGATGGGACAAGCTGTTCCCAGGAAAAGTAGCAATGTGCGCTCGCCCTTTAATAGGCACCACCCAAGACACCCACTCCATAAGTTTTCTATATCATGGAACTATTTGTTTGCTCTAACACAGTATGTTGTTTAGAAATAAATCTTCTACATGTCTTACTACCTTGAACAATTTCAATATTTAGCAAACTCGTGTTAACATACCATAACGAGGTCTGCTGAAATGAACTTCACAATGATACGCAGGCTGGAGGATCTGCAAGGCCAATAAAAGTGACTGCTCCCATCTAATGGCTAGAAGAAGAATAGCAGAAAAATAAAAGTGAATGTGATGTCTGCTTTTTACTTGCAGCAGTAACTGTAGACATATAAGAAGGTATGTTCTCTGATCCAGAGAGTTCAAAATAGGCCACTAAGAGGAAAGGTAGTATGAAGATAAAGCTACCGAATCTTTTAAAATACATGCTTTATAACATGATCACAGTACAACTTTAAATATTAATTGAACTATAGATCCAGTTTTTATTCCAGTTGCCTTTGAGCAGAACTCATATCAAGATATGGAAACAGCAGTATATTCAGATATGGAAGCTAGATGGTCTCTAGAGGTCCCTTCCAACCTCAACCATTCTGTGACCTGCTCCATTCTGTGACAGCTGACGGTGGTCAGCTCAGTGATAGAAAAGGAGACATTCCACCTCATGGAGCCTCAAAACTTTTTCCAAATTTACTTTTTCAGTCTTCCTTTAGTTGTCTCCATGTTGCCTTTTACCTACAAAAAGTTGAATTCATAAGGCAAATATCACTTAATATTGCTAGACCAGGCACAGATAATGTATTCAAGCTGCCATATGTTCTATTAAAATTTATGCCGTGTTTTTCAGAATTATTTTTTGCAATTTCTTATACCCTAATTGAAATGAAAACCATTGGGTATAGAAACTAGGGCGAAAGCAGTTGGTAGGAATTCTTCACTTCATTACAATTTCAGTACAAAATCTGACAAATTTAATGGAAAACCAGTATAAGTATGAAAGGCAACGCTGGCTTGTGAGGGTCCAGTATTTATTCGTTAAACTCAAGAAACTTAGGGCCAGCTAAAAATGTCTCTATACTTAACACTTTCAAACTTTAGTTTTTAGATATCTATCTACATCTCCTTTGTTTTTCCCTCTTCTGTTTCTGTGCTAATATTCATTGCAATTTCTTTGCTTTAAAGGTCCCTTTCCAATCTTTCTGAAAAAGTAAGTCTGGAGTCAAGCCCTCTAAAACAAGTCCCCAGAGCGAGATGCTCACAGCTTTTGAAACAGTGTATTGCTCAGGATGCTACTGTGAATTGTATTTGAAATGAGAACTATCTTTTCTTTTTTCTTGTACAGTGTTAAGCGTGGGCAGTTTGCACTAGGTAATAATCAGAAGTTCCTAAAGAAGGATAGGAGGAGTTTTCTCAGTGAAATTCCTAAAGAAAGACTGGGGCTTGACATCAATTGCTATTCTAGTTGCAAAATAATTCTGGAACTGCTGATAGTTTCGGGTCAGAACGATTGATGTTGATCTATTTGGGTAACAAAAATCAGCCTGCAGATTTGTTTGTAGATGTTAAACCCAATATGACAACAGCTATGACACAGGAGTTTAAAATGAGCTTCATTTTGTATTCATGCTGTCCAAACCAGCTTTCATTTGGCTCTCACATAGGCAACAATTCTATGAAGGAAGCAATAGAAGTCATAGAATTTCCAGACTTCACTTCTAATATATTCTTTTGATGTTAATAATATTTTTATCTGAATAGAGAATGTACTTTCTGTGTCAGAAAATATATTTCTTAGAAAGATCTAATATTAGAGGTCAAATTTTAAAATACATCTCCCTTTTGTTTCTTTGTGAATATTTTTTTTCCTTCGCTTTTCAGGTGTGTATGTCGGTGTTACCTACGCTGGATTCGCATTTGACAATACAACATGGTTCAACATGACGAGGAGCCTGTGTCAGAGCAATGATGATGGTGAATTTGACTTTTCAATGGTTTAGCAATGCAAATCTCACAGGGAGAAAGATGACATTTAATATACTAAACTTACAGTATTGGGAGGGGGAATTACTTATATATATATGTACACGTAGGGAGAGAGATTTGGGAATATATAGACCTTCTCCGCTTGTGAAACGAAAGTAACAGATTTTTCAAGTCAAGTATAGCCTGAGAACAGTTGTTCTAGCTCTTATAAATTTTATTTAATGACTATGAGAATCCACCAAAAAAAAAAAAAAAAAAAAAAAAAGTTTTGTCTGTGAAAGCAAAGAGGCAGCAAAAGTGAGCTGTGGGGAAATCTGTCACACATAATCAAAACAATAGCCATAATTTACAATGTTAAGTAGAGTTATGAGTATTAGCTCCCAGATGCTGCTTCTAAATGTATTTTGTACGTCTCCTTTGAGAATCAGGACTAAAGATCAGCAAGTAAGGGATTATATTCAATGTTAACTGAATATTCATGTTTTTATCATCTGGCTGTAGTCTGTGGTGGTTGTTTGATTACATCTACATTGCTTGCATGATAGCATCTGAGTCATTGCATGAAGAATATTGTATTCTGTGCATATACACCCAGACTTTGATGCTATGGTTGTACCTGTCATGAAATTTTACATATATTGCTCAGTACAGTCTTTTTGTTTTGATAGGGATTGTTGATCTAAAAGAAATTTGCTTCTCTTTTGAGGCTAGGATGCTATTTAAGGACTATGTGCATGTAAAAACTGAGCAAGAAGGGGATTTTTTGACATAATCTAGGTGGAACAATTCACTCTCAAAGCTTAACAACTGTAGCAAGCACTATTTCAGACATGGATCTTACCATTTTGTGTCAAGCACTTGCAGCTCTTACATGGCAGTGTGATCCAAACTCTGCCTAGGTGACCCCACGTAGGTGGCCTTGACTGTGGGTTACCCTTCAGGCTGGCTCTCTGCATGAACTTTGCCTTGTGTTTTGGGGGGAAACACCCTGGGGAGTTGTGAAAACTCTGGGGTAGACTCGAGCAATGTCAAATTATGGACAGTTCTTCACAGTGTTTGGTTTTTTTCCCTCCCAAGTGTGTGATGGCCTCTCACTTCTGAAGATAGTCTTAACGAATCACCATTTAGTGCTGCTTACCACAGTGGGCTTATACATCAGTGAAGATCTATGCTATCCTACTGGAAAAATCCTAACGGTATGTGAGTTTAAACTTCAAGCAGCTTTTTAAGTCAGTTTTGTGAAAATTTAGCCAAATAGCAAGTGAGAAATTAAAGCTATTTTCTAGAGAGGTATTCTGAAAATATGACTCTGTACATATTGAGAGGCTGAGTGAGCTGGGCCTTTTTTCTCTGGAGAAGAGACGGCTCAGAGGGGATATGATTAATATGTATAAGTTCAGGAAGGGAGAATGCAGGGAGGAAGGGGACAGGCTGTTCTCACTGGTGGCCAGCGATAGGACGAGGGGTAATGGCCACAAGCTGAAGCACAAGAAGTTCCGTCTCCAGGTGAGGAGCAACTTCTTTACTGTTAGGGTGACAGAGCAGTGGAACAGGCTGCCCAGGGAGATTGTGGAGTCTCCTACTCTGGAGGTCTTCAAAACCCGCCTGGATGCCACCCTGTGCCACATGCTCTAGGTGTGCCTGCTTGAGCAGGAAGGTTGGACTAGATGATCTGTAGAGGTCCCTTCCAACCTTAAATATTCTGAAATATTCTGAAATATTCTGAAATACATAGTCAGTTTTCTGCTTTCTTCCTGTGAAAGGTTACATTTTGAAGTCACAGCTAAGAGACTATGAAAATCAAAGTAGTGAATAAGGTCAAGGAACAAATTGCTCATTTTTTAAAAAAAGTTATTCTCTTGTGACATAAATTCTGTACATGAAATAATCATATCATTGAAGTATTTTGAAGAGCGAAACCAGCAATCATTTATTTGTTATTACATATTTATTTTGTTTCTTTTAAGGAGGTATATCTTACAATGGAAATGATGTATCTTTTTGTTAATTTAAAGCTGTTCCAACAGTCAAATTTTCAAAGAGTTTTGTTAATCTGAACTGCTTGAAATCCAGCTAGCTAGGCTGATTAGTTCTTCATTTTGAAGATCTTTCCTTTCAATTATTATTAATTAAGATTTCCTTTCAATTATTAATGTATGTTTCCTTTTATATGGTACGTGTGTCCATTCAAATAGCCCTGTCTTGACTTTTTATTTCCATGACAGATCAATCTGTGCTCAGAACTGATTTTTCTATGCACAGAAAGGACAATTGGTTTTGTGAGTTGGGACACAGGACGTTGCAGATCCTCCCAGTGGGTGTTTATGGGGACTGCTCATGGTGACTGAGGCAGGATTTGGAGCAGAGTTAATGAGGTCACCTGTAGAGGAGTTAAATTATTTGCACTAATAAAACATAGATTTTCCTTCAGGAAAGCCTGCTTACGGTCTTGCCCTCTTCCAGGTTCAGTAGCTGCAACAAAAAAAATTAAGAGTTATTTGGCACCACAGGGTAACACATGCAGCCCTGTGCTTTAGTGGCCTGGTCACAGCCGCTGCGCCTGCCACTTAAACTCACGGTTTGACTTCCACGTGGCTGCACCTGGCGAAAGCAGCTGAGGAGAGAGTCCAGAAAAACCTCAGCCATGCAGAAAGGTGTATTGCATTTCTGTTTCTGGATTTCACTGCCGCATTGTTGAGGAAGTCTTTGCAGTGTATCAGAAAATTTGTAATTTTAGGAAGTCTAACTTTTCTTTTTTGGATTGTCGTGGTGTTGCAAAAGGTTCGGCCTTCACACAAATGTCATCTTGCTGCCGAAGTTCTACCTTTTCTGAAAGTGCGGTGCCAGAAGACTCTCTTCATAGAAAGCCACTAGATTTTATTTTATTTTGTACAGAAGTTGAAAAAAACTGTTTTTTTCCTGATCCTTTACTTAGCTAAAATGGCCATCTATTTCTATTTTTTTTCCCAAATTTTCAAAATGTCAGCCTGAGACATAAAGCCTGCAAGGAGAATTTTACTCCCAGGTAGTTGGTTTAGCAAAATTATGAATTGTCCTGTTGAAAGACTCCATATTGAGCTATCTTAATGACGAACAATACTGCTAGATCTGCCTTTACTGTGACTTCCAGGAAGGCATCTTTCTGGAATTAAAAGACTCTGTGTGAAGTATCTGAATGTTCCCATTTCTCTAAATTATGTATGTGCAGTTTTATATGATGTACAGATATCAGATGTATAATCACAAGTTTTGTGCACAAATATTTCTCTCAAAATATTTAATTCATTTTAACGAATTAGAGGAGCAAGACCATGCCCACAAAATAAGACCTCATTAAAGGATCACATTCTATTGCTGTAGCTAATGCCAATATTGCCATATGATCCAATGATAAAAGAATTTTAGAAAGATAAAAGAAAAAGGACAAGAAAACTTATAAATACACTGGCAGATATCTTTTACTAGCATTACAATTGTGTGCTGTCTGTGCTATTTTTATTCTTCATTCTTTTTTTCCCTAGTTCTATAATGTGACCTTTTGTGGCTTTGAAATGGTAAGAAATCTGGAAATACAGTCTATTTTCAACATTTGTATTTGCAAATCTCTTTAGAACAGTAAATATTTATTTGAAAGTATTTTAACTCTTTGGGATAAAATAGATCACATTTAACATCTTAACATAGAGTCATTTGGGGATAAAATGTTAAAAAAAATGCAGTGCTGGATTAAAAACTGTTAGTGGCAGCTGCTGAATTTGGCTGGCATGTAGCCAGATGATACTCTTATCAGGTATGCATTGGGGTGTGTTTAAGCAGTTTGATCAAGCAGAGTTTTGATTTTCTGGGTAATTAAAGTAGTTTAGTCTCCAGTGGGTGGTATCTCTGTGGTTCTTTTTTTATGTCCAAACATTTCTCTATCTTGATTAGCAGAATAATTCATAATGTTACTTTCTTGGAGGACTTTCACAGTACTGACCAGGCTCAGTCTGGCTTATCATGAAATGAGTCAAGTTCTAGGTGGCCTGGCAACATCCAAATACAATAAATGATTTTCCATGCTTATTGTTGAAAGTAAATTGTAGTGTTATTTGCAGATTTATTTACATGTCAAAGGACGTTTGACTTATTTCTATCTTTTTATTTCCTATAGCATGATTATTTCAGCGCAAATTTATGGTATAATACTCAGTGTCTAGCCAACAGAGAAACCTATGAAGGTAAAATATCAACATTTTAAATTTGCGAGAAAAAGAGGGGGAAAAATCATGAAAATTATAGAATGCTTTGCAAAGTGAATTGAGTTCAACTAACTAGCCTCAGATTTGTGAACGAATACATATTCCACTAAGCTTGCATGGAATTTGGGGAGCAGTCTCCATAGTTCATGTGAATATATTCTTAATTGCCATTTTTTTTTAATTTAGAGCTCTCAAATATCTTTATAATTTTGTCCTTTTTCTAATATTCTTCCGGAACTCATTATGTCAGGCAAGAGGAACAGTAGCCTATGACTGTGACATGTCGGTGCAGCTTGTGGAAAGGCTGTATGGACAAAACCTTGGGCCGCCTCAGTGCCTTTAACCCAGCTCTTTAAAGCAACGAGGTTGCTTTAGATCTTGTCCTGAAGCAGTTACCTGTTAGGCAGTTTGTTGGTAAGACCACCACCTAATGCACAGAATGCAAAGAGCACCTACTGGTACAATCAACCCTGCTAAGTGACCACTGTGATATTGAGAAGAGGATTCTTTCATGTACATTCATGTAAAATGAAGTTACTCAGGTCTTGGAAGAGATTAGTCTATGGACAACTGAATACAGCTTTAAAGAGTATGTGTGTATATACACACACACACACACACACACACACACACACACACACACACACACACATATATATATATATAAGATTTTACAGTAGTGAGGGAATAAAATTTGAAACCCATGTGTGCATTCTTTGGTTCTTAATATTGCTTTGCATATTTATTTGAATGCAAAGCAACTCTTTTGGCTATACAAGTTGGAAACAACATTTGAAAAACCCAGATTGCAAATCTGAAAAGGTGTTATGATGTGTATGGAGATATAGCATATCCAGAGGTTGGTGTGTTCCTGCAGTATAGAGCTAGTTGAAGGAAAGTATTCTTGTCCCAGAATTAGTCTTTTTGAATACACTACCATTTCTTGTTTTATAAAAGGGTAGACTGGGAAAGGACTCAATTCATAACCAGTGTAGAAAAGGGTCTAAGGAATTTCTTACGGTACAAGAAGGAAGTTCACCAGACAGTTAATAGACAGGAGATGTAAAACAAATGAAGGGAAATATTTCAGATTTTTCAGTTTTCAAATATTTCAAATCTTTCAAAATTAAGGAAAACAAATTTATAAATTCCTGTTGAACGGGATGATCTAGAGAAGTCCCTCAACCACAAACATGTAAAGATTCTATAGGATTTTATAGATTATATAGGAGATTATTCTCTACATATCCTAGCTCTGATTGCTTTTCCCTGTGCCCAAATACTAGACTAGATGAACCAATCCCTGCTTTAAATGACTATTATCTTGGATACCAAAATACACGTTTTATGTCTTTAAAATTCTTTTAAATATTTCACTAAATTGAGGAAAATACTGCACAGGCAATAATGTTTGTCCTAAGCTGCCCAGAAATATACCAGCAGGCACATCTATTTTCTTTATGCAGTGCAGCGTCTGTAGATTTAATATTTCTATAAAAATGTATAAGATCAATCAATTAAACTGATATAGACTCTGTTTTAAAATTACTTGCCAAACAATCTGTATTTTTTTAAGAGATAGATTAATGAAGATTTTGTTTATTCTAGAGGATGTTATTAGCGTCACATTCAACAAAGAGAAGTCATGGAGCCTGGTAAGACAATAGGAAATTTGCAATAGCTTCAACAGTATGTTTTATGGCACAAGTTTTGTCTGATGGTTTAATAATTTCAAGATTCCTGTTTTGTAACCATTTCTCTGAGTGTTCTGAACTTTAATATCACTATTCTGTAAATGCTAGTATTCTATCCCAGCATTGGAAATTTAGAATTTCTTTTTAAAATTGTTATTTGATTTTTTTCTTTTTAGTCCAATAACTTCTAGTTCATACTATTCCCTAATAATGAGAGGTAGTTTATGCTGAGAATCTGATTTTAACTTTAGCAAAAGGAATCAGAGTAAATGCAAACAAACTCCCCCTCTATAATGCCAAAATGCAAAATTTAATAACTGCACATTTTCTTTCTTTCAGTTGTCAACCTGCTTTTACAGTTATTCACCTTTCGTTTTTTGGTCAAATTGCCTTCCTCTAAGGTCCTTTGGCAAAAAGAAATTTTCCAAAAGACCGATAGCATTCCTCATGGATTACCAGCAGAATACAGGAGTCAGTATTTACAAGACTCAGGTATGTTATGGAACCAGTGACAGTTTCTCTTGCTTTGCTTATGCATGTTATATTTTTAAGTTAGATTAAATTCATTATTCTTTCTTGTCACTTTACCCTATCTGAACAAAGAAGGCTTCATGGTGTTGGTTAGTAGTTTAGGCAAGACACTTCAGCCCAAGAGATTTTGATGCTGTTCTCTACTCCTTCACTATTCCCCAAGCAAATCACATTGTTTCTTTGTACATCACTTTTCCTACCCATGAACTATGGCAGTTTACAGGACCTGAGGATTTATTCGCTGTGTGAAATGCACTCTGAAGAGATGAGGGGAGGTTTACAGAATGTAGGTGATTCCTGAGCTCATCTTGTATTTCTGCCTGACCAAAATTTTTTTTGTAAAATTTCACACATTTTGGTAACTCTGTTTCAGATGCACTGAAATTGCACAAAAAAAAAAAAGGAATGACGTATTTTTCTCTTTCATTTCTGTGCTAGATCTTTCTTCTAGTCTACCGTATCAAAAATTTTTAAGTGGGCACAATTATTTTGATTAATAGGTTCTTATATTTATCTGGAAATACAAGTAACTTCTCCAAGCTTCCCACAGATTCAGCTAGAGCTCATTTGGTTTAGCTACAACTCCTTTCCCTTCACTTTAGAAACTTTTCATTCTCCAAATATAGGGAAAAAAAATCCATTCTTGTTTATTACAAGTGACTTTGAATGGTTTGGTTTTGACCAGTTAAGAAATACACATTTGAAATCAGATTAATATTTACTGCTTTCTTTCACCAGCATTATACTACTTGCTCTCTCCTGACTTAAAATTCATTACCAGCTTAAGTGCACTGTCTAGCATTCCTTTTTTAGTAGCCTAAATTAGAGTATTATGAAATTATCTTGGTTATCAGTACTTACCATGTTACTTCTCTCCAGAAAAGGGCATTGGTTGCTGTTCATAAGCTAACAAGACGCAGACTGAGTAAGAAAGTAAAATTTCCAATGTTTCAATTTCCAAACAGTGGTTTTATGCCATATGGAATGTTCTTCCACCCAGAGACTCATTTTCTCTATGTTTATGGAAATGAGGTATGTATACAAAGAAAGTAATATTGAAGTTTAGTCTAACATAAATTACTAATTTCGATTGGATTAAATTGTCCAAACCTGTTTTTAGGACTACTTCTGCAAAGTTCTTTCCAATTTCTGTATAATCAGGCTCAAAATCATTAGATTTTCATACATTTTCCAATTAGTGGACTCACTTGTGTTGTAGGGTTTGACTTATGTCTGTCAGATTTAAATTGCTGTGAGACTTTTTGAAATGACTTATTTGTTATTGAGCATTATAACAGTTTTGGATTTTTTTTTTTAAGTAAGGATAGACTTCATTTTAGTTTTCTGGTGAGTACTGAAGAAGCTAATCCATAAACAGCTTTTGATTATGGGGAAATGGTGGGTCAACATAATCAATGAACATTTATTATAAACAAAATTCTGTATTCTGTTGAGTTTGGTCTGTTCACAGTACTTATATGCATGTATATATTGAATAGATTGCATTTTTACATTTGTTGGAATAGACCTGTATTTTTTTCAGAAAATATTACGTAATGAGCAATCTTTGTAGAGGATCTGCCTCTAGTTAAAAGTGGATGATAACTCAGCAGTGACTGTTATTTCTTTCTTAGGTGTGGTTATCCAGTGATGGAGGCAACTCTTTCCACTTATTATTCAGTCTTGAAAAAGAACATATTGTTAAAACAAACACCTGTGTGTACACTCATACAGTTGCATTTGTGAGTGACAAAGGAAGCATTTTCTTTAGTAAGGCAGGTAAGGAATTTAAACTTCTGCAATAAAATGAGGCATGACAACTACATGGCAAGGCTTCTTTGTTAACAACTCATCAGGCACTCCTTGCTAATGTTATTCCACAGTAAAAACCTCGAAGGGTCACAGAAAGCCTCTTAAACTCTAGTGATATTAATACTTAGTAATGTTAATGTTAGTGAGTTCTGAGCGCATTGCTAGCTTAGAGCAGTTAAAGCACAGACAACATTTGTACAAAGAGGTAATGTTGCTTTAGTTGTATAGTTGGAAGAGTGAACCTTGAAAGCACACAGTCGTCTTAGAGTGAAAAGCAGCAGGCTTAGGGCAAAGTATTACACTGATAATACACATAACATACAAAGTCAAACCAGGGAGGTGGAGTATGTGATTGTGTTAAGCAGGAGGAATCGTGCTCCACCAAGTGCTGAGAGGCTATTGAAGGACACAGTGAGCTGGTCAGTCATATACCATATTTTCCTTGCTCATTTCCTGCAGGATGCAGATGGCTGTAATTGAATAGCTCCTCTGCTGTTATCATACAGACCGCATCTTAATAGGCAGACTTGTCATTTCTACTTTTCCAATTGTAGTAGTATGCTATATATAACATAGTAAGATAAAATAAAGATATAATTTAGCTGCTTTCTCACTTGAAAATGATAGCCCCTGTAAGGAGATACCTTTTCCCATGTCACTTTGTGTAACATAACCGTGATTCAGTAATCTAACGACTGCTGTTTTTACTTGAATGTTTTTATACTGGACTTTGCCCTGGAGGAGGAGAAAATGTGACGTTGTTTTTGCCTACTGGAATCCAAATGCAGTTTATTCATTGTTCCTCTAGTATAGGAAGCAACCTGTTAAGGTGGTTATGAGTAGATTTCACCCATGAATGCTTTATAATGTTTACAGATATGTAACATTATACAGATATTATAATATTTATGAATATGTAAACCATGTATGAAAAAGGAAAATCACTAGGAATTGTGCTTCTTCCCCTCACCATCACGGTTCAGGTTCAGCCCTAGGATTCCTAATCCTATAATATGCTGCATGCACATGAAGGCCTCTTTCCTTGTAGAGTATCCACCTCCATTGACCAGTGCAGGATAATGTACATGATATTTTTGAGTATTTTAGGATAGAAAGTTCCATTCTACTTGCTTGTCAATTTATTTTAAAGATATATTTCCCCCATTAAGATACTGTGAGAATGTTTCTTTATATATATGTCTATATATATATCTCAAAGCAAGAGATCAGATTGGAACTGCTGAAACTTGTAATGATCACTTGATCAGCTTAAACAGTATGATTTCTGCCTTTTCCTCACATACATTATCTTATTTTAACTTTTTGCTTGTATTTTTATTTTTTTCAGGCTTGGAAACATATGCCAGGTCTGTGACTTCAACAAAAAATGTTTTCAGTTTATACTGTGACCACCTGGGAGATCTGCATCTAATTAATTTTAATAGCTCAAATATGGATAGACTGAGCATAAGAAAGATAGACGTTTTAACATCAGCAGAGGTCAGCTGTCAAAAGATTTAAATAAGTGTTGCAAAATACCTGTAAAATCTTAAGGAGTAGTTTGTTTCTCACTGTGCACAACAGCAAGAAGATAGAGTTTGTGCAAGAAACAGATTAAAATATGTTTATGCGGTACAGAGAATGCCAGGCTGTAGCACATGTATAGCTAAACATTTATTTTAAGTATATAATCTGAACTATGTTGGAGCTGTTTAAGTGTTCAGGGCAATAGAGAACTCTGAATCCCTTAGTGGCAGTTTGCACTCTGCCACAGACAGAGTGAAGGGAGCTCTATATTTAGAGCCGCTCTGTCGGCTCCGTCCCGGTGGAGCGTGCCTGACCTGGCTGCGGTTGCCCTGCTAAGGTTGCGCCTTGTCCTTTGCTCCTGGAGCAAAGCAGGGCCCCTAGAGCCACTGCAGTGGCATCCATACTGTGTATGAAAAATAAGGATTGTCTTTTCTGATATCTATACTTTTATTTATCCACACCGATATCCACCAGAACTTTTCCAGTCAGTCTCATAAGACCATGGTACAGCTCTTCAGAGTCAGACCTTATCTGTACTTCCCTTAGTATCCTTGGTGACATTCATCATTTTGCTGGTTCAGTTTTGAACAAATGAAACATGAATATGCTGAATGCAAAGAGTATGTGGAACTCTACCAGTAAGCTCCCTCTGACCATTTACCCCTTGTAAGAAGGGTCTCTTCTCTGAAGGACTATCAATTTTTCAATTGCTTATTCATCCATTCTACTTTTCTCTACTACTATGACTACTTCTTTTCTCCAAAGCATTTATAGTGAGCTTCTTGAAAGCCTTTTGGAAATCCAAGTAGCCTGCATCAACGGAACCTCCCCTGTTACAGAAGTCCAGAAATTGAGTCAATCAATTGTGTCGGCTCTTCCTCAGCATTTCTTACTTGCCAGTATGTGCAAGAATTGTGGGTTTTTTTTCTTTCTCTCCGCCTCCCCTTCCTCCGCCTCCCCTTCCACTAGTTTGTTCAGAGTTAGCCTCCGTTTTACTGCTCAGTAGTTCCCTGAAGTTACCCTGATACTGTTTTTACAAACTATTGGCAGTTAGTCAGCCTCCATAGTCTGCTGCTAAGGCACTTTTAAGTGACATGTTATGTATCACAATTAGTAAATCATCTGTTTCTCTCTTGAATCTCCATGAATTCCAGGGTGAAGCCAGCCAGCCAGTAAGCCTGTGCCTGCCCTTCAGTCTCAGCCACATTGCTCCTATTTGAAGAAGCTGCCTCCCAGAAGGTTTCACAGTGGGAATTACCCCAACTTTTCCACAGCTGACATAGCTACCACCAATTCATTTAATTCTGCTGTGGCCCTGTTTTTCCTCTGAGCATTTCTGTAATTTAATTGGTCCTACAAGCTATCTGACAAGTTTCCTGTTCTTGATGTGTTTGAAAAATAATTTTGTACTATTTTTGCTTTTCCTCAGACTTCTTCTGGATTATCTTATGTGTTTATGCACTCAACCAGCCAAAAGTTAGGGCATCATTTAGTATCATCTGCAGTTTTTGAAGGACACCTTTTTCTTCTATAAGCATTTCTCACACACAGTGTTTAAGGAGACCATGGATTTATGTGATGGTCAGGAGCAAGTAAAGAGTTGCTGGAGATTCCCTAAACAGCTATTTCATGAGGCAGTCAGTGACAGAATCTAAACATTTGGTTTTGGTTTCACATCTTGGCGAGACATTTGACCAACAGTCAATGCCAATTAATGGGCTAACAAGTTGCCCATCATTACTATATTCCTTACATTCACAGTCTGCTTGATCACTCCCAGCATGTCCCAGGTGCTCTTACTGTGATGGTCTGACAGTGAGTAACACAATCCTTCTACTGCATTTTTCCTATACAGTCTCTAGATTCTGGAGTTTCTGATGTTACTGGTTGACAGAGACAGCTTAATAATTGGATTTGACTCTAAAATAGTGCCCCTAACTGTGCTGGCACAGCTTGCTTCTCCCTTCATACTTGGTACCTGTTACTGTTCTACTGATAATAACATAATCAGAATATTATACCTGCTACACCAATGTAAGTACTGCCAATCATCATCCAATCATATAATCCTACTATCCTACTATTCCTTTTTCAGGGTAATATAAATCAGTACAGAGTAGTCTAAAAGAATATGTTGATTGCTGCTCAGAGAATTTTTGGCGACAATCACACTGTTCAGCTCATGTAGGTTTTCCTTTGCTCTAGAAATAATTGTAGTATTACAGATGCTTCTGTTTTGAGATCAAATAAAATCATTTCAAAATCATAATTAAATAAGGATAAGATGTCTATCACAAAGAAAATAAACAGCCTAATAATCTTTGTTGATTCCATTTCACAATAGCTTTTAAACTGGATTATGGGGCATCACAGTAAGCTTGTATTATATCGTATTAGATAAAGTGGAACTAAGAAGATGACCATGTTCTTTTCTCTGGTATTTTAGGAGTTAAACAAATCATTTGACAATATACTGGCCCCACAATATATCACAGAACAGAAAATTATATTTTTTGAGTATAAACCAACCAAAAAAAAGAAGAGGCGGCCCAAGAGGTCACCTGTTCGTTTCCTGCATAAAGGTCAAGTTATACAATACCGGTAAGATAATCATAAAATATTAAGACTTAATACATCAGTGCATTTCATTCCTTCACATGCAAGCTAGAAAAAGGGCATTAGCAGAATATATTATAGTTCTGATATACTGTTTTAGAAATCTAGAAATAAATTGCAAAATGTTTTACTAAATGTCAGGTTTCATAGTTTAGTTGCGGAAGTAGAGGTGGCAGCTTTTGACCAATTACTATTTTTTTCACTCTTCAAAAGTAGATTCACTCTTGTAGTTTTGGTTCAAGCAAAGCTTTGCTGAAACGAATGAATTCTCAGAGACTGCTAAAAAGTTTTGGTTTGTCAGGTACTTAAAAGTAAAGTTTAAAAATATTACTTCTTTTGTCTTTTAATGGGTTGCTGGAATGATACAAGAAGCAAATAATCTAGTTAAAGGAACCTCCATTTGAGAGAATCACAGTTAATATGTATTAGAGTCCTGCTGAGTCCCGCGTGTAAGATCCAGCTGTATCTGATTTTCGAATACAACAGTGTAGTATTTATAAAATCCGGTTTTCTTGTGACTTCATACTTTTTTCTTCGTTCCTATGTACTAATTTTATGTGTTGAATGAGCACTTCACTGGTGAAACACTGAAACACTCTTCAATAGACTCTCATAAGGACCAGCAATGGCCCAAGCTTCATTTTCAGCTGACCCTTAAGTGTTTGTGTTATATCAGTATTCAAATTGTGCAAATGAATGTTTAAAGCTCGTTAAAACTGCACGCTAATATGATGGGTTACATTTATGTCAGAGAGAGCTAGTTGATTTGCTGCTGAAAGGAGCAAATAGTAAATAGGTAGGGTAAAACAATCAGGGCCCCAGCGCAGGGCGCTGCTTTAAGGCCATATTCTACATTCAAATGGCTCTTTCTAGTAAAAGATGCCCTTCTGTTACAGACCAATAACGCAGTGCACAAGCCCATTCCCGTGGGCTGCAGAGCAGACTGTTGCAATCACTAGTGCTTACTGATGTGCTCCTGAACTCCCTGTGCCCTTGAGAGCCCCCCTGGGCCTCTATCCTTAAGGGAAACAGAATGGCCATCAAATTGCTTTATTTATTTATTTATTGTTCACAGGCATGACAGAGCTGTCAGGATGCATCTCTCTGTTCTTGTTTTCGGTTTGTTTTATTGTAAATGATGGTAGGCAGAAGGGATGCCCCTTAAATTGAGGTAGGATAACTGAGCTCAGTTTAGTAGAGTAGATGTGAATTGTGGTGAATTCTTCATGTTTATTTACACAATACAAAGAGGTGCCCTTAGAGCCTGTTAAAAATACCTCCTATTTCAGGCCTTGCTTTCCATGAGATGCTGTACTCCTCAGCAACAGGTTTGTAGAGTGTTTCTTCTTCTTCAGAGGCACAAAAAAACAGAAAATTGTTTCTGTTCTTTTTCTAAAACTACTGAAAGGCTCAAGTTGTTAGAAGTAATTTCCTGATTCTGGGGTCTATCTCATACACCGGTAAGAGAATGCAGCAAGCTGTGAACAGCCCTCCACTGAAAATACTTGCTAGTTCACAAGGTTTATGGAGCATCTTATTTGGCTGCCAGCTCTCTGCTCGGCGCTCAGAGTGAGAGGACAAGATCCTTGGATGACTTCTCTAATGACCCCAATAAAGGATGTCCTGTTATAGGAAGCTGAAGTCTATGTGAAGTCTATGCTTGATTATTTTGGTGTCTCTAGAGAAGAGTCCTTCAGAGCAGCAGCACCAGTTACTTCCTTGTATCTGCATCGTACGTGGTCTGCAGTACAAAGCAGGCATTCTGCACAGCTGCTTGGAGTCTCTGCTTTGACTAGACAAGCTCTGAAAGTGAGGACACGATATATTCTGCACAACTTACTGGGTCTGCAAAACTGGTGCCATCAATATTGCAATTTCTGATACCAAAGACTCATAGATTCCTGAGTCCTTTCATTTCCCAGAAGCCTGGAAGAGTTAGACAATCCTTCCCTTGGTGATCTCAAAACTAACAGATGTTACCTACCTCAAAGATTTGAGTCAAATTTTTGACAATTTTGAGTATTGACACAACTTGGTCCAAGGTGAAAAAGTTTCTGTTATCAAACTTAAACATTTCTTTTCTTACTATTACTTAACAGAACCTTTCAGAGGATAGCCAAAGAGAATGAGGAGGATGCAATCCCATACTGCATTTAATGCAATCCTTCATGTATGTGTAAATCTGCAGGCTAAAAGCTTTATGTGTCTCAACACCTCCTCCCCACAATATTTGATATTTCATAAAGTTTACATGTGCACCATAACCTATTATTAACCTCTTCTTTATATTTTTTGAATTCTTAATATTTTTTTAAAGATTTTGTGCCATATTAAAGTAGCAAATTCCCATCTCTATTGTCTGCCCCAAACCACAAAATTCTGAAGAAAGAATTGCTCTGCTAATTTTAGATGTTACAATACAGGAAATTTCTTGCACTCTTCTCTGTATCTACTGACTTATCTAAGGATCAGAGAATTTCAACTTAATTGCCAGCTTGTAGAAAGATCTGCTCCAAGATGGCTCATTTAGAACCCACAAGGCATTTTGATTTCTCTGCAAAAATGCACAGTAAATTCTTATGCTTGTTAGGTATATTCCCATAACATTGAATTTATGGAAGCTGTGCTGTCTGTGTGTGCATGTATGTATGGGTGTATATATCTGTGGCTTAGCTGCTCTGAAGGCTCTCAGTAATTTTGGTGTAGTATCTCAGTGTGAATCTGGTAAAGCTCTGTTTCAGTCACTGAATAACTTGGCTCAGAGCACCTTTTTCTAGTAACTAATTTATGTCAACAGCAGGAGAGTGCATATGGACACGGTTGTGTGAACTCTGTTTACTGAGGGAGAGGTAAGTAATTGCTCTTTGTTTGTTGTTGTTGTTGTTGTTTTTTTTCCAGCAGACAGGCAAAGGGCTCTACAACCGAAGAATCCAAACCTTTCCATTTTCTTTGAAGGATTTTCTTTCAAGTATACTTTCTTCTGTCCCAGTCACTTGATTTCCACATCTGATATTGAGCAGTTCACTTTGACTTTGGAGAACAGTTTCTTTTCAGAATCTGTAGAAATAGCATGAAATGTATGTGCTGTTTACCTGGTGAATTACCCAACACAATAAGGAAAGTTATACTTCTTGTCATTACAGGCCAGTTGGAGCAGGTCTGATAGTTGACGAATTCCCTCTGGGATATTCTCCATATTATTTGTCCGCTGTCATCGTAAATGTTCTTGAGAAATTCCCCATTGAATCTGAAGAAAGCAGTCCCTGCATAAAGCACACATTGACTGTTACCAATGGCTCAGGTGACTATAACGTAACACTTCGCCTTTCACGTCCTGGTAAGTTGCAGATGTAGCTGGTCAAGTATCATAATTCTTTACTTGGTGTACATTCCCTCTTATTTCAAGTCCTGAACTGCAGTCTTGTGTTGAAACACCACTGTACTCTATTTTAAATAAGCACACCACCTTTTCTGAGGGCAAAAGGCTCCACTTGCCATACAAATGCCAGGAACAGCTTAGCTCAAAGGCCATTGCCTTTGGCAGGGAATTAAATACTACTGAACAAGAGGTATTTTACCTTTGTGACAACTAGGAGTAGCTCCCAGATCACAACTTTCAGGAGTCAAAAGATCCTCTATAAGGACCGTGGAGGCAAATTTTTCTTCTTGGCAGCCGAAGTGCCAATGGGTATGCGGAATGCAGATGTTTGTGAGGGTTGGTGGCCATTGGACTCGGGGAGGAAAGGCCGTTTCTTTCCTCCAGAGCAGCAGTAGTAGTTGGCTTGCAGAAGTCCTAGCTGCATCCTGGCACCACAAGTCCCAGCACGCTATGAGCAGCCTGATCCTCTTGTGAGCAGCAAGGAATGCCAGGAGCTGTTAACTTCTCTGAGCCGTAGCTCCTCACTTTCACTTCTCTTGATTCATAGTTGAAGGTTTTAACCTCATAACCTAAGCATTTTCTGCTTATTTCAAGCACTGTATATACACGTAGGTTTCCTTGCCTGTATCTTTAACTAGGTTATAGAATCCGTAAGGTTGGAAGGGACCTATAGAGATCATGCAGTCCGACCCCCCTGCACACACAGGGTCACCTAGAGCACATGGCACAGGGTGGCATCCAAGTGGAAGATCTCCGGAGAAGGAGACTCCACAGCCTTTCTGGGCAGCCCGTTCCAGGGCTCTGTCACCCTCACTGTTAAGAATTTTGTCCTTAAGTTCCTGTGGAACTTTCAGTGCTTCAGTTTGTGCCTGTACTTAAATAAGGTTCTTAAATATTGTTTTCATTTCAGTTGTGGTATGCTAGAAACATAGTTATGCAATCATTTTAGAAATTGCTGTAGTTTATAAAGATGCTGTCCTTTACTAGCTGACTGCTAGCACTCCAAGATTGATTTTCTCCTCTCACAACTAAGTCACATCAAGGGCTTTTGGGGGCAAATTTCACTATAGTGCCATCAACTGCTGGTGCTCTGACCACCTTCAGCAGTGTTGCAGAATGCTTTACACGTGCTGGTGTGGTAGGAGGAGGAAGATCTTTTCACCATCCATCTGCTCCATCTCTCCAGCTGACCTGCCTCTAGTACTGATCACCCAATAGACCGCAAATCAGTTCTGTGATGACTTTAGATCAGGCAGTAATCAGGCAAAAATGCAGGCAAAACTCTGTTATTTCTCTTTTATTTATACTGAATTTAATATGTGTATTAGTTCAACTAAGCATAAAATAGTGATTGGAGTCAAACATTTGATTACAAACATACATTCTTTGTACACAGGAGGCATGAAGTGTACTATTTTTTGGGTGTATGTGTGTGGAAAAGCCACCTCCTGCCACTGCTCAGGCCAAGAAGTTTTTTGTCATTAGTTTTTGCTAGTATTTATTCTGCTCTTCCTTGGCCTTCTGCTCCTTCTGTTGCTTCCTGTGTTGGTTCCCCACTCCTTCCACATCACCCTTACTGCAGTAACACTCCCTTTCAGCCAGTCCTTGTGCTTCAGTTTTCCACGTGGTTTTGTTAGAGGCAGACACCCCTCAGATTTCATCCGTTTCCTAGAGGAGCTCAGACTCTGCATTTCTTTTAATCAGAGCTGGTTGTTATACCCAGCAGTGCCACAAGACTTGTAAAACTCCACTTTAAATATATGGTCTTGATGAGGTTTAAAAAGTCTAATCAGCAGTTTTAAAATAGCGACACAAACTCAGACCTTCTGTTCTCAGACATGGTACAGTTTGCTGACTGGGATCTGTTTGGGTTTTGAGCATCAGGAAAGCCTAAAGCTAAAACTTCTCAGAAATATTAAAAAAAAAAAAAAAAAAAAAAAAAAAAAAAACNAAAAAAAAAAAAAAAAAAAAAAACCACTAGATTTGACTAATCTCTTTTTCAATTTAAATCAAAAGATACCACTTCAGGGAATCACTCTCAGGGTTTCTGCCCTGTCAAGAAGAGCATTTCCACTATAAAGTAGTTAATCTCCCTAAGGCGCCCGCAGCCTGAGTTGTCAAGATCCTCTTCCTGAGACTGTTTCATGTCTATTTATAGCAAAATCCTGATAAAGCTGCTTCAGGGCAGCTGTTGCTCAGGTGCAGCGTCTTATCCTGCCATAAATGTGAGGCAATATGAGGACACTTTCCTCACAGTGAAGGCAGGCACACTTGCACAGGTGGTCCCTCCATAAATGTCCCCACCCACACGTGCCCACCTTGTGTTTTGTGGAAGCTTCTGGGCAGGGGGTGTGTTGTTTCAGGTCTCTAATGCTAAAAGGACCCCAGTCATCCCTTTAATAGCTTATGAAGCTGTTATATCCACCAGTTTCAAAAAGACTCTCTATCTAAACAGTATTTTAACATTTTAAAAAGGTTTGCACTTCCTGATAAATGTAAATTTTTACTGAGAAGATTAGTATTTACTGTCATGCTTTGAAAGCATCCAGAGAAGGGACAAATGTAAGCAGAAAAACACATGTAAAGTGAGGCGGGTTATGAAGTAGTAAGAAAAATAATTTGAATGTGACCAAGAGGACGGTCAGCAAAAACTTCTTGACACCTGAGCTGTTTGCATACTTCCTGCTTCTCTTGACTGAAGAGAAAAGGATGCTATAAGCAACATCCATACCTTTGAAAAGCCAGCTTGCTCTAAGCCTGCACTGTTCTTCCTTCATGGAGTGTGTATCCCCAGTCCTTGAACTCTTAAGGATTGCTCAATTTAAAAAAAAAAAAAAAAATGGGTTTCTTTTTTTGGTACCACAATTTAAAATAGTTTGTTTTGAAAGATTAACCTGTTGTAAATTTCCAAAACAAAAAGCAACTCTGTCACTAGCAGCAAGTTCTTCTATGCTACACTGATTTGGTTGGTTGGTGTAGCTGTTGAAACATAAAATTGAGAGACACAGATGTGGCTTCTGCTGCAGTGCACAAAGCAGAGTTTCAAGTGAATTTTTCAAGAAGTTTAATGCTTAGCTTTGTTTTTGTTAGGTAACGATGGATTTAGAATCACTGATGTGGAGAAGACAGTGGTGATTCCCGGGAGCAGCAGCTTCCTGATCACGGCCATTGTGGACAATGAGACAGCGAAAGCAGAGCCCACCATGCCTGAGAAGGTGCCCTTCGATGTAGGCATTCCATCCAGCCAATGGTTCATGCACAACTTTGGTACTACAAATGGAAAAAAATGGGAGCTGAAGGTAGACACATGCAGATATTCAGTACAACAGAACACTCATACAGCAAGGAATGTCATTAAATACTTGGATCTGGACACAACCTACAATTTCACATTTAGAGTAATTCCTCAATATTCAGGTAAGAGACTTGGCATTTAGTGCTTTGGTAAGTGTGTAATTTGTATGCAGTGTAACCTGGAGTTTCTACTATAATCTCTGTCCTTATTTTCAAACCCTATTTTGTTGAAATTTTATTCTAAATGCTAGTTTTCAGCCAAAAGGAAATTTTATAGGTTTTTTTCTCTTCTTTCCTGCTCAGAAGTAAATTTGCTTTGCTTTGCCTATTATGAAGTCTTTTAAGACTCTTTGAATTTGGTAGTGTGCACACACACACACACACTGTCTTTATTCTTATAACTTAGCAGCAGGATAATTTAAAAGCTGAAACTTGCTGAAACTTATAAACGCTTTAAGTGCATCTGTAATTTTGATTCAGTCTCTCAAAGTTAATTTGGGAAGCAGCACTTTTCCATTGATTTAAATGAGCTGCACATATTACCCTCTTGTTTTCATTGAAGAAGAATGGCTTTTGACAATTCTCAAAAGAAAAACATGTACATAAATATGGCTGATGACATTTCAAGTAAAATGTTTTTTTTTTTTTTCAAAAAAAAGAAGTATTCATTTTCTGTTGTATATATGAACAAATACCTATATGCCCTTTACTCTCAGACCAAACTTTTTAAGTAGCTGGCCTTAATAGATCATTGAATAAATCAGATTAATAGAATAGAAACAAAGAGAGTGTGCATAACAATGAAACTGCTTTAAAAGAAACTTAATATAACATTAAAAGTGAGTGGTTTGACAGCGATGTATGTTAAAAAATGTATTATCAAAGAAAAATATTATCAATACACAGTTTTAGAACATTCTGTGATTTATTACGGTTCTTGATGCTGTGCCTGCTTGCATAGGAAATGATTTTAATTAGAATTTTAATTATGTGAAAAATACTGTGGATTATAGTAACATTTGTCTTGTAAATTATTTCTATTAGTAAAAGTTTGCTTTGGGCAGCTTTTTAAAATGAGATCACCAGAATCACATCTGTCAATACAAACATCTGTCACCCAAACTTGAGAGGGGTAATTCTGCAGTAGTTGTTGTTGTCTAGTTGAAGTTGGAGCTTGCCCTGGTGGAAAATTCACTGAAAATACAAGTATATTTGTGCTGTTCAAATCACAGAGAAAAAACAGCTCCTAGATTTACCATTCCAAACTAGGAGGACAAAACACTGTAACGACACATTTTCTAAAGACTGCAGCATTTATGAATTCAGGTCCATCTGGGAAATTAAAGACCTTTGTGCTCCTAAACTCTAAGACATGTGTGAAAACAGCAACTCATGTACAGAAAAGAGGCCAGCCCCTAACTTGTGCGTCTGGTAGGACCTGAGCAACAGGAGGCAGGGAGGAAGGAGCTCGATGGACAAGCTCCTTAACACAGTGGTGCCCTCTCCTATCACCTATAAATATAATATAAATAATAGAGGCACCAAATCAGCTAATACCAAGGAGCAATTCTGGGATTTATAGTTGATTTTGCTGGGAGCAGCTGACCTGGATGTAAAGTTGGAAGTGTCCCAAAGTTGCACTGGCAAGGGTAAGGATATTGCTAGGGCAGAAACTGGCCGCTGAGATCTGGCATGTGCTGTGTGGAGCACTGCAGGTGGGAAGAAGTTGCCTCTAAGAAAATAACTAAGCCCGAGAACTAGAGAGCTCAAAGCAGTTCTGCGGAGAGAAGATGTTAACAGCAACATTTTGTACAGATTTTAAAGCATGAGGTAAGTGCAGATGGAAAGACTAAAGACAAAAACTTACTGTCTCCAGCTACAGTACAGTAAAGGATAGGTTAGTTGGTGAGCCAAAGAACTGGCAAAGAAACAGTTACCAGTCTTGTAGACGGAAAACAGGAAGAATTATGAGGAAGATTTTCTCCTATTCCTTTCACATACCAAGTGATCCTTTGACTGGCTCTTTGAAAATAAGTTCTGGAGTTCAAATTTATTTTTGTTTTCTTTTGAATTTTCTTTAACTTTTAGAGCATGGAAGAGTGAATGTATGTATTTTTAATTTGCTTGATTTCACAGCCTACCCAATGTTTCAAAAGCGCCTGATAAGCCTCTTCATTGGCAATCCGTCGCTGCTGGAAGTGACTACGAAAGAGTACTGGGATGAAATTGATGGCTACATCCTGCAGTTCTCTGTTCACAACAAATTTAATCAGCAAGTAAGGCAAGACAGGTCATCCTGGCTTTCACAATGGAGTTAGGGAGCTTGCTTTCATTCAGACTAGCTGTAGTAGTAGGAAGGTTATTTTTAGACTCAGAGAATCTGAAAAGCTACAGATTAATTTATATAGTGTAAAAAAAAAAAAGTGGTTTTTTTTTTAAATTGAAATTTCCAGTTTATCTTTGACCAGTCCTTGGATAGAACATTCAATAACGAATATTGTTCAAGAATATATTATGATATGATATGAAACTTCAAGCAACAATATTCTTAATTTTTCATTTTGATTCCTTTTTTTATTACTACTTTTAGTTCTTTTATAGCATCCTGTAAACAGAAAGTTTCTTTTGGAGCTTTCTCATTTTGGAGTTATTTAGTTTATATATAGATATGCATTTGAGATTTACAATTGTAACTGTGCAATAAGCTGAGAACTGTCCCACTCCGACTAGTCATTAGAAAAGGCTGTAAAACAAATTAGTTAAATAATAAATGACTGTCGGGACAGGGAGTTTTCTTCCAAGAATTTTAAATAGGAAATTCCTTATTTCCTCAGTTCCTCACAGTCACCTCACTGACTGAAATGTACTATCATTTCACTCAGTCAAAAGCACAAAAGGTGGCAAATGTGCTACCCATTTTCAGAAAGGACTCCAGGGGGTAATCTGAGGAATGGCAGTGCCCAAAATCTGACTTGCAGGGTGGGAAACTCATTGAAATTATTGTAAAATAGAGTAGACACTAGCACAGAACAAAATATGAGGCAAGAATCAATGTGAACTTTAAAGGAAATCATGTCTGGCATATGTAGCAATGAGAGGAGGTTGAGCTAGTGATTGTAGGAGATTTGGAGTTTAAAAAGCCTTAAGCCAGGTCCTCTTCAAATCCTCTCAAGGAACCTAAGCTATCATGGAACAGGATGGAAGGCTGTCCCTCAAGTAGCAGCTAGATGGGACCAAGAGATAAAAGCAAATGGTCATTATTTTACAAATAACAAAGGAGATGGCTAGTGTGTGTCACAGGATCTCTGTACCTTCTGTACAAGCTTGTCACAAATGACAGGGAAAAGGAAATGACTACAGAACTGGGGGAATTTGGAGAAGGCAGAATTATGCAACAAAGTCACAACTAATGGCAGCAAAAAGTTGCAGAAAGATTTAATCAGTGCAAGGCAATGAGGCAGTAAAATGTCTGGTAAAAAAAATATGATCAACAAAGATTTTTGGAAGAAAACTGCAAAGTAAGGAGCTCTAACTTAGCTGTTACTACTCACAGAGAGAGTTTGGGTTGGCAGCTCCATGGCAAGAGAACCTGAACTGAGTATTACCATTATTCTTCTTATGAAATGAATAGAGAAAAAAAAATAGGAAAGCTGTAGTAGCACTAGATGAAACAAAAGGAGTGAACAGTTACGATGAGAAACACACAACAGGCTCCAAGCAAGTGAAACTGTGTGTTCCTGCTGGGAAAGACATGCGGAAGGCAGACATGGCAGATGTCTGTAGGATCAGTGCAACGAAGAAGGCAGTTCATTGCTTCCCAGAAATGCAGCAGCTGTGTAATAATTTGAGACAGACCAAAGGAAACAGTTTTGTTACATGCCACCTACTTGAAGGGCCAAACTCATTGTCTCAGGATGCTTTAGAAAACAAAAATTATAGGCAGGATTAAAAGTGGATTAGACAAATATATGCAGGATATGCCCATTCTTGCCATTGAAGACAGTGGCCCAAACACTTTAACAACTAACCATCAAAAATAAGGACCACTCTGTATTATCTTGTTTATATTCTTTTACTCACAACTGGTCACTGTACAGATCGCTGGACTAAATGGACTTTAGTCTGACCAGAGGGGCAGTTCCTATGGTCTTGTGACAGGCACTTTTCTTTGAGTGTGTTAGTGTCATGCTGAGGCAACATCGGTTGAGCAATATGAGAAGTTCAGTGTAAAAATAACACCCTTTTCAAAGTATTCTTTCCATTTGTATCTACCATCCCTCACTGCTGCGATAGGCACTGCCAGTAGCTAAAAATACAAGCCCATAAATAACATCAGTGCCAGTTATGTGTCACAGGGATCTGCCTGTGCCATACTTGTCCACATCATTTCCCTTGATCAGTTTTACCAGCTCCTAATCCCCAGGTGCTCTGGTACAAGGTGGCATTGCCACATGCACTGAAAACGTGCAAAATGAGGCTTCATCAGATTAAAGCTGTGACTTCTTCAGAACATCTCACTAAACAACTTGTGCCATAAATCCCTTCCTAACCAAACGAGGATCAATTTAAATGACTTCCTGATTGTTACTGTAGGAGCATAATATAATAAAGGCAGCTTTGAAGTGATATACTGATTAAAGCCAGCCCCTTTCTCTCCTTGAATTGGGTTAGCAAACTTTCTATGTTTGGAAATATATCTATGATATATCTATGTGAAAATGAGCTCTTTACAGCACTCCTCTACATGGTGATGTTTGCTTTGGGAGTGCTAATTTATTTTCACACTGTAAATATCTACAGGGTAAATCTTCAATAGCTGTGGTTATCCCGGAAGCATCCTGTATTTGTCAAACATCAGCATTTATTATAACACTGAAGACTGGCTGCTTGCATGGGAAATCAATTCATTACATTTCTCCAGTTCCAGTGACTCCTGAACTTTGGCTGCAGAAAGCACCAAAGGATGACAATGGTTTTCCTATCCTAAAGGAACTGCCGGTAAGAAAGTTGAGCCACTGTTAGGTGAATGTCAAGGCATTGGTCTGCCAAAGGAAGGGCTTCCTACTTCACACAGGATGTTTATACTTCTTCAAAGTGAAGAAGTGAATGTCAACAACAGCCTGTTTGTCTAGTGGGAAGGCATTGTGTAGGAATAAGTCCATGTGCAAAATCGGCCACTAGATTTGAGGAGGGGGGGAAAAAAAAAAAAAAAGGCATGAAATGATTTGATTTTTTTGAAGTGTGTTAAAACATGCCTGTAGCTATTTAGGTTGAATAAATTACAGTACTACTTTCCATGTAACACCATGAATATTGAAGGCTTTTATTTTTTAGCAGAGTGTTTTGAAAAAGAAGAAATTTCTCTTGGGACCCCTAGGTTCTTTTGCTATGAAAGATCTGAACGGAGATAGCTGGAGGCAAGAGACGGCCCAGTTCCCAATTACGATACCATTCGCTACGCTGCTATTAGAAAAGAACCATTTAATTGTCATTCTCTAAACATCTCCTCTTTAAATAGCTGAACGTTTCATTTGCTACCAAGTATTTTTACTTATGTGAAATGCATAGTCTTGAGTTTAAGCTATTTTAAAACAGCATAATATATGCTGTGTTTAAAACGCAAATGATTAACAGAATTTGTATCTCCTATTAAACTTGCATTTTCGATTTGGTTGCCTAAATAAAATAACTTCATTCTGTGTTTGGATCATGCAAAGGAATATCAAACAGGTGTTCATACGTGTTGCAATATGAACCTTCATGTTGTGTTTATATCTCTGAGTTAAACTTAAGCCAAGCCTATAAAAGTCTTTATTTGTGTAACAGATGCACTGAGCTTCCTGAGCTTTCTGTTATAGGGGACAGAAAGCATTTAATCTTCTTCTCACATAGTTTCTGAGCAGACAAGGGAATAGAGACGGGAGATCATGTGAAAGTCCTCAGTCTTAAGGACTCAGTCAAAAAATCATGGCCAAATACTGAATCACATAATTCATATGAGTAATAAGACATATGTGAGCTCTCTTGTTGCTGCTGAGACGATGTTTAAAAGTGAAAAAAAATCTATTCAAAACAATAATGTGTTTTCGCTGAAGGATCCCTGGGAACAAAAATATTAAATATAGGTATATTCATTGCTTTGTTTTGTGTTCTTTTTTTTTTTTCATCCACATTAATTCTGCTTTATTATCCTAACATTAAGAATGAATTATGAAACATTAACATTAAGAAGAATCCTTTTATTATCCTAACATTAAGCATAGCTTCTTACTCTCTGTTCTACTCAGTGAATGTGTATTTAATCTATGTCCCTCTCTCTTTTGGTGCCTTTATATGCAGGTAAACTACAGACCTCCATCTGTATATGGAATAGGTATTCCAATCAGTGATAACTTCTATAATGCAGACCCCAGCAAGCCAAGAATGAGAAACTATTTTACAGATTCCAAAGTAAGTCTTCTGTAATCATTTCACTACTGCCAAACATATCTTGCAGCTATGATTTTTTTTTACAATCATATATTTTACACACATTAGTGTTTCAGTTTTCTACCACTTGCTTTAAATAATCAGTATTTTGAAAAGCAGACTGTACAGACAGGATATTTCAGTGTTTTCGCTGTAGCCTATTTCCTTTCAATGTAGACCTTTCTGGTTACATACTACCAGGGGATGGAGATATAGATAGATAGATAGATAGATAGATAGATACAGATATACATATATCTTTATAGCAGGCTGTGAAGGATGCTATAAGGGTTTCTGCTGGGATGGTATAAGCTTGTGAATACTATATTAACAGAGGACAGATAATGGGAAAGAATAGCAACTGAAACATAAACCCAGGTAACTTCAGTGTAAACTTTTAAATCCTAGTCATTAATGAGGAAAGGACCCGTGCCAGAGTTTCCACTCTAAATCTATTCTCATCACCACTGCCAGAATTACTGATACGATGTCATGAGTTAAAATAGAAAGGCAAGAGAGGATATCTTTCAACCTAGCACTTCCCCCCTGAAAAGACTGTTGGTAAAATAGGTGGCACAGTGTGCTAGTCATGGGCATTCAGAGATTGTAATACATACAGAGAAAAATAGCTTTTTCATCCAGATTTTCAGGTCAGGACTTCTAAAGAGATTACTGCTTTCTAAATTGATAATCACAAGAAATTAACAGAGAGATGACACTATAGCTACACCAAAAAGTAGTGATAGAAGTTTTGTCTTTATCTCTCTACCCTGAGAAGATACTTTTCTTTTTCTTTTGAAACAATACCTACTTCTCCATGTTCCAGGCTTTTTCCTACACCATCAAAGGTTTTTCAACTTCAAAGATATCCTCCTTACAAACACTTCCTAGCAACTAAGCACAGCTCCACTTTCTGCTTGCCCCAGAAAATGGAAAGGACAATTTGATAGCTTGTCACCATATTTTGAGTCAAAAGAAATAGGACCTTTGACAATTAAATAAGCAGAGCCAAGCACAGGGAATGTCAGGTGGGCAGCTGGGTGATCCAGGCAGGCCTGGCCTTAGGTGCAAGTCTAGAGAGCGGTCTTGTAAGGCAGAGACTCTTGGGGACAGCCTTGCAGCTTCCCAAAGAACCACCCACCCCAGATAACTGCCCTGCCTGACTCTGGCCCTGGTGCTTCTGCCTTGGCCTTTGGTCGCATCTGCCTTTATTCCTGCCTCTGTGCTGCTGAAGGGAAAGGCAGAGCTTCTCTCCTTAGCGGTGAAAAGTGGGAAGCTGGCAACAGAGGTTCGTATTTCCCCTTGCATTTCTTTTTTCCCTGAATTATAACGGTGCTTTAGTTTGAGCAAGAGGAGTTGCATCAGTGCAGTGATGGTCTTTCTGATTTCCAAAAGAGCCTTCTAAGAACAGCAACAAATGCAGTTCACTTCGTTGCCTAATGGAACAGTTTTCCACCGACAAGGGTTTTTGTCAAAGCAAAAAATATTGTCAACAGTTTGAAAGAAAATTACTGAAATTTTAAAAAGTCAGAATTTTGGGGGGTTGTCAGATAAGTGGAAATGATATAGCACAGATGAAATTCTTAAATCTTGATAAAGTTAAGGTTTGCAGGTTGAAAAGCGTTTTTGGAATATCAGCTTCTTTGAAGAATCCCAAGGTATCAGTATTTTTCTTGATTAGAAATGAAGCCCAATTAAAGCACCTTGAAATTTCTTGTGGAACAGAAATGTCAAGATTTTGGCCAAATGTTCAGCATTTGGCTTGTAGCAAATAGCGTATTTATACTTAGCAAATAGCATATTTATATTTTGAATTCTTCTACTCCAAACACAGATAGTTGAATTTATTTATTTGTATCTTCTTATATAAAGTCTTGTTTTTAGAATTCAGGAAAGAAGCTGAGCCCAAATCTTATTTTGTGGCCTCTCCACAGGTTTCTGGATTTTATAAGAAGTGTGCTAACAAGTCATCTAGAGCTGAATGCAACTGTACCTTGGCAGAGAAAATGTCTTCACTTGAAATTTTCTCAGACTGTACAGAGAAGGTAAGAAATAAAATAGAAGCAGGGAAATTATTCTCTTTAAGCTAGATTCAGGGACAAAGCTAGATGCCAAACAGTATTTGAGTTAAAATTGCTCGAAGAAAATTTGCTACAATAAGGGAGACCCTCCAAATTGCCTTTACAAGACTTGCAGGCTTAATGGATGTCTAAAAGAAGCAGAACAGTTTTTCCTTTGAATAAAGCCATGTACCAACAAATGACTTGCTTACATTTCAGGTTTTAAGAATGAGGTATCCAGTTACGAAGCTTCCAATCCATTTCAAACTTAAGTATTCAAATTCCATTAAAAATCTGACCTTTCCTTATTTTGTCACAATTAAGGAAGTCAACCAAAGGGAAAACTGGGAAGTGAGAGGTAAGAATAATGTTCACATTGAAATTATAGAACAATTCTCTCTCCCCTGGGTCCATGGAAAAACTCAGTGATTTCAGTGAAACCAGGAATATAATCATAAGCCTTAAATATCGTTCATATGTTCACGGCCAGAACCCTGATTTCATATGCATCTGCTTTGTGCTAGGCTCAAGGAGTCCTAATCTCTACTGGATGCTGCAATAATCTTAGTATAAAATAATTGCAACCTCAGAAAATATTATCAATGCTGGGAACCAGAATATCATGAAAAAATACCACTGTGCTGACACTTAATGATTCTAAAATAATTAATATTAATAAAACAATAAAAATATTATTTATTTAGGGACATATATTCTAATAGAATATCTAGGTACTGCTAGGAGTTCTCGAAACTAGAGAGACAGAGACAAGGTGGCTGCACCTCATATCCCCAGGTCTAGCCAGCATCGAGGCTGAGCATGTAATCCTGATAGATACACAAACTATGTAAGTGTAGATATTTTATGTATGTATTTATATATATCTGCATGGCAGGCCACAGATATGAGACAGAAAACACCCAGCACTTAGGCAAGCATGAATAGCATGATCTTGGCCCACAGAACCACAGAATGGTTGAGGCTGGAAGGGACCTCCAGAGATCATCTAGTCCAACCCCCTGCTCCAGCAGGGACACGCAGAGCACGGGGCACAGGGCGGCATCCAGGCAGGTTTGGAAGATCTCCAGAGAAGGAGACTCCACAGCCTCCCTGGGCAGCAAGACCTCTGCGTCTGGCTCTTCAGAAAAGGCAATAGAAGTGAGAATCAAGTTGCGTAGGGCCTAACAAATGTGGAGATGAGTCCTAAAACAGGCAGGTTTGATGGTAAAGCAGGGATTCAAAATAAGTGATGGGTACAAGCAGAATGGCGGGTGATGGCATAATCAATGCACAAGTCATTTGGCTGTGCTGAAAGTAAAAAGACAGAAGTTAGAAAGCAGGAGCTTCCATGAGTGAAGGAGGGCAATGACCAGGACAGGATCCATAGTATCCTAGGAGAGAAGATTGCAAGGGCGATAATCCTATTCCATGTGACGTATAAAACATAACAGGAAAGCATAATTTATCATCCCAACTCACAGGGATTATGAGAGGTGAGAGGCGCAGGGGAAAGCAGGAAGAGATCGAGACAGCAGCTGTACAGACTGGAATTAGGCCCGTTTCCCTTTATCTCTGAGTGCCCTCGAGGCCTCTGAAGCCTTCAGGGATCCTTGGGTGATCAGGCTCTAGGACAGCAGTGTCTCCAGCTTCAGTGGGTCCCAACAAATGCCCATTTGCAATTCAGCAGGCAATTCTCCTGGCCCCGTACACATGCGTTAATCTGAAAGACTGTGGTAAAACATATTTGAAATGCTAGAGAATGTCTTGAAATCAGTAAGCCTCAAACATTTACTGAGCATAATGAAAATCTGAAATCCCCATTTGCAACAAATAGAAGTACAGATAAAATCAAGCCCACAAATTTTCCATGTGCTGCTGCAAAAATATGAAGACTGTGTCTAGCACCTCCTGTGCTGTTTACACATTCCATTTGCCACAGGGGAGAGGGTTTAGTTTGTTTATCCAGCTCACCCTCCAGTCCTGGGCTCCCTACAGCATGACCCCACACCGCTTTCTTGGCATCCCAAGCCAGCTTCTGCTCTAAAGAAATGCCCAGGGCTACAGAGAGGTCTCATTCAGCAAGGGCAGGACATATAGCTGCCTGCAAGGAATTTGGACTTGTTGTGTAGCAGGTCTCAGTCTGTTCAGCACTCGTGATGGCAGACCAGATGTGAGTTTAACCTCATGATGACTGAGGTCTGGACCTGGCCTGGCCTATCAGATCTTGTGAAGATTTATTTCATGTATTTGGACAGTCTTTGGCTAGCTCTTGTGCTGTCTTTCAGGGGACATAGTGCTCATAATACATCAGCTCCAAAATAGCCTCCTTCACACACCTCAGCAATCCAGTACAGACACGCCATTTTGTTCTTTTGAAATAATATGCTCTTTAATCTTGTGGGCATAGAAAACATTCATGGAAATAGAACCTCATAAAAAAAATGTATAAAAAAAATCCCTGTTATCCTTTCCTCTGTAACACTCAAGCATGAGCAACTGATCACTGTGTTGGAGACAGGATTCCAAGCAACCCCAAACAACTCTGGCAGTGGTGAACGTGTTCAGGCAGCTCAGGGGTGCTCAGTATCTCATGGAAATGAGTTAGAAGAAAAGGAATGAACTAATTCTCATTCCCTCTCTGTCTGTCGAGAGCCAGAAGTTATACTAGGTGGATTTGGGAATACATCTGGGAAAAGAGAAAAAACATGGAAATATTATTGAATTTTTTTTTTTTTTATTTTACAGGTATCAATGAAACATCAGGCATATTAAAAATAAGATTCCATTTAACTAAAAAACTGAAGACTACCGTGTATAGTCCAGATTCTCTGATCTTAAGCCTATATGTAAGTTAGCATTTCAAATTAAAACATTATGAACAGAAATGGGTAGAAGCTACAGTTCTAGAACTGAACACCATATACTTTTGAGGCAGTTTTGATATTAATGTAAACATCTTTTCTGTGTAAAAGATATGTGCACCCACACATTTATAATTTGGGCCTATTTCTAGCTGGAGTAGATTGGAGTCTTTATGTTGTACACATGCTTCATGTAATCTTTAAAGGTACTGGTCTAAGATAATGAAGATAACTTGCAGAGTTTTTCCATACACAAAGCTTTTGAATTAGTTATTTTTTACATCTTAATAAAAATCTTACCTTTTCTGACTAACCAGTCTATTTTATACATGGTAATCTAGATGTTCCCCCTTAGAAATGTGACTGAGTGTGACTATGTCTGACATTCAGATTTGGGGAAGGATAAGTACACCTTAACTGAATGCCTTGACCAATACTGTTATTTTGAAACCCTTAAAAGGCCTGCCAGGAAACTGCCTTTTCCAAATGCACTGCCTTATAGTTATAGTATAGGCCATACATCATTGGACTCAGCTTCTTTTTTATCTGTTTCTAGCCAGGCTAGAGAGGGAACTGTATTTAGGGCAACCTAATGCTGACCCGCTACCAGATCTAGGAAAATGCACTCAAAAGGAAACCTTTCTTATCATTCAAGGAGAAATCAAATATGTAGATAAAATAGTGATCTACCTTTTGGCTTTTATTGATAGCCTTGCCAGGCTGTCAAGAGCTAAGGGAACAAAGAATGCAAAAAAAGGGGCAACTACCACACAAAATTGTTAGTGAGCTGGTAGAGACCATTTAAATCTTGCTTGATTGCTTTTAAGAACAGTAGAGTTAGGTTCCTTCCAGCTTTACTTTTGCTTGATTTTGTCTTAAAAATTAGGTACTGATTCTCATGGCAGCAGTTGAGAAAAATGTCAAAGTGCTTCTGCTCAGCAAAACCAACATTTTGTTTAAATGTTTTTTTTTTTTTTCCTGGAAACCCAAAAAGTTGATGATAATGATGATGATTTCTTTTAATAGGGATCTGAGCTTTTCCATTTCAAGGTATCAACTGTTCCTGGAGTTTCCCACTGTAACTTATCTGATGAATTTCAGGTACCATAAATAGTCCTTACTTATAATGATCTAATACTTAATAATTTAACATTTAATCATAGCCTTTCATATGAAAAACAAATGAACTGTATCAAAAACTTCACTTGCCCAAGTCCAGCTTGGACTCTTTTATTGAACAGGTACTTAGTCACATATTTGGCCACCTGTAGCATCATTTTTTTTCCCAAATATTGCATTATATTTTTCTAAACACAGTAGGTGGAAGCCTTTTTGACCAAATTCAAACTCAGTCAACAGGAGTCAGCCAGTCATACTGCGCTTATCCCAGCTGCCAGTGTGCACATTAACTTCCAGTTGGTCTCCAGCCCTTTGCCTGCCTGCAAAGAAGTTACTGGTGAAAGGTGCAGCCTTGTGATCCTGCAGAGATTCACAGGCCTGGGCTCCTCAGCAGCACATCTAATTCATTAAGGTGGTATTTATTGATAAAATAGAACACGGAATATGCAGTACTTTCTATCCAGAATGTGCTTTAGAAAGGTTACTGTCATTATCTTATCTTTCTTTTTTCAGTTGGAAATTGATAACACACAAAGACCTTGACTGGAATTTAGGGTTTCAGGCTTCTGCTTTTTATTGAAAAAATAGCCCTTAGCCCAAAATACCTGTAGTCAAGGAAAATACATAAAAGGCAGAGTCAGGTTGAAATATATATAATTCTAGATAAACTTTTTATTTACAAAATATAGCTCCCATGTTGCCATAACACAATTAATATCTACTACCTAAAAGCACCTTTCTTGATATTCCATCACTGAAATTGCTTTCCTGTGGTGCCCATCCAGCTCCTACCTTGCAATTTCTAGCCATGGTTTAAGCAATGACAGAATTTCTGCTGAGCCCAAGGACTGTTTGCTCCAACAGAAAAAGACCATTTTCTTCTACCTCTGTGCTGAGAACAGTTTATTTTGTATTAAAATAATAAATTGGAAGAATTACAACTTTGTTATAGAATTGTAGTAAGAAAACTGAATAATCAATAACAGATATTTTAAACTTTTTCTATTTCAGATTTATGTAGATGAGGCTCCGCTGGCCTTTCCAGGATCGTTTCTCATAAGTGCATTAACAGCTTTATTCATAGGAAGCATTATCTTTGTGGCGTTTCTTGTACAACTGTATCAAGTAAACATATGGGAGGAAGTGAAACGTAAATGTGGACGATTCAACAAAGTGTCACCATCAGAAAGTTCCAGTACTGCTGCTGCCACTTCGGCCTCTGTGGGGGAGCAGTCTTAATTAGCTTAGTTAGGATTCTTTGTTAAAAAGATTTTAGAAAATACGAAGATTTCTTTTCTCACATTATTTGTAGTCAATATTAAGCACAATTAAACAGCTAGAACTAAGGTATACTGCTAGTCTTATGGATTCTTTTATGAGTATTTTCTCAGACAATTGCCTATGAAACTGTTAAAGTGCAAAATAAAGCCTTCATGATACTTAATTTAAACAATTGTGATTTTTATTCATTTATTTAATTGTATTTATTTATTTGTGCTAATTTAGACAATTGTCAGTGCATATTTAATAACTGCTAATTTCTATGAAATTAGAAGGGATGAACTGCAGGGGTGATTACTGAAGTCATGTGCCCTGGCAGTGGCACTGGCTACATCCATTCAGGTTCTGGTGGCAATACCCTTGTGGTGGCTCTGGGGCTGTGCGGTGGCTCTGAGGCCATGTGGTGGCTCTGGGGCCGTGCGGTGGCTCTGAGGCCATGTGGTGGCTCTGGGGCTGTGCGGTGGCTCTGGGGCCGTGTGGTGGCTCTGGGGCTGTGCGGTGGCTCTGAGGCCATGTGGTGGCTCTGGGGCTGTGCGGTGGCTCTGGGGCCGTGCGGTGGCTCTGAGGCCATGCGGTGGCTCTGAGGCTGTGCGGTGGCTCTAGGGCCGTGTGGTGGCTCTAGGGCCATGCAGCGGCTCTGGGGCCATGTGGTGGCTCTAGGGCCATGCGGCGGCTCTGGGGCCGTGCGCTGGCTCTGAGGCCATGCGGTGGCTCTGAGGCCATGCGGTGGCTCTGAGGCCATGTGGTGGCTCTGAGGCCATGTGGTGGCTCTGGGGCTGTGCGGTGGCTCTGGGGCCGTGCGGTGGCTCTGAGGCCATGTGGTGGCTCTGAGGCTGTGCAGTGGCTCTAGGGCCGTGCGGTGGCTCTGAGGCCATGTGGTGGCTCTGGGGCTGTGTGGTGGCTCTGAGGCCGTGCGGTGGCTCTGGGGCTGTGCGGTGGCTCTAGGGCCGTGTGGTGGCTCTAGGGCCATGCAGCGGCTCTGGGGCCATGTGGTGGCTCTCGGGACCATGCGGCGGCTCTGGGGCCGTGCGCTGGCTCTGAGGCCGTGCGCTGGCTCTGGGGTCCTGCGGTGGCTCTGGGGCCACGCGGCAGCTGTGCACCCTGTGGAACCTCAGCTGCGCGGGCCTTGCCATCCACACCGTGCCCCGCTTCCTCCTGCTGCGGCTCCTGGGAACGCCCCGTACCTCCCTGCCCTGGCCACTTATGCACAGGAGATCTCCCACGAGGAGAGCTGCTCAGAGGCCACCTTCATGCCCTACACAGGGCTCTGCTCGCACGTGAGGGCATTTTTACTCCTTAACATCAGGGAACTTGTAGCTAACCCACATGGCAGGCTGCCTAAAGCCTATTTTTTTCCCGTGGTTATGGATGGGCCATTGCCAGGCCCAGTAAACCCTGCATCATCTGGCTTCCTGTCTATAAAGCAGGCTTGGGCAGAGCCCCATGACCGTTTCACCAGCAAGAAACATCTCTTATTTGGCAACTTCTCAACAACCACAGAAGCTGCTTCATGGGTACCGCAACTAGGTGCGCCAAGTATCTGCTGCATCTATGTTTGAAAGTCCACTTTCCTTGAGTGGAGATTGGCCAACTGAAAGTCTGCACAGGCTTTAGGGGAGAATGGAACAAGCTCTACTCAGAAGGGCAGCTAGTACAATCCAGCGCCCTTTTTAGGCCACCAGAGAGAAGTATTTGTGGCACCTGCTTATGCTGTAACTGCTCCTACATACCCATGGCAGAACAAAGCATGTTACTGTCCCCTCTGAAGCAAAGGCCACATGGATGTGCTTCAGGTGTTAAAACCTTTCTGGTGACTGCAGGACGGCATATCCTAACCACCAGGATGGACTTCAGGATCCATGTCACCTTGCAGCACTGTGTGCTGTCCCTTCCTTCAACAAAGGACAAGAAAGACCTATGTTTGTTTTGACCGTGCCACCCATTAGCTGGACCTCTGGCTCCTCAGTTCTTATACTGGAAAATACAGTAAACAACTAATTCTTGCTGACTTTCTTCATGCCATTCAAGATGTTATAAATGCCTACTATATTCTGTCTTAGTCACCTCTACTTCAGGCTCAAGAATCCCATCTTACTTCTTGGTCATCCATTGTGTGGAAGTCATTTCCTGGCTTTTAATCATCCGAGTTAACATTTTATGAATCTCTTCCAGTTTTACTCTGTTCTTCTTGAACTGAACAAATACTGCACTCTCAGCGCAGCTAAATATGATCTCTCAGTTTAAAGGTGCTCTTAGGAAATGAGCAGTATGGAAAATCAGAGTGGGAATGTACAGTCAGGAGCATTTCAGTGTGACTCTTTAGGCACACCCATTCCAACATGATTTGGCATGGTATTTCCAGGTACAAATGACGACAGAAGAACAGTCCTTGATTTCGCATTTTGTCTGCTCCAGCTTGTCCTTGGCCAGAGCAGAGAAGCCATGGGAGGAGGGAAGGCCCTGCCCTCCCCGGCTGCCTACCCTGTCACTGCGGAGCCGACCTGCAGAGCCTCCATGTCAAGTTCTCACCTCTGTTTGGGACTAGGTGTGCAAAATGTAAGAGAGCAGAGCAGACTTAGATAAGCACTAAAGTGATCTCTTGAATTGCTTGGGTGTTCCTGCTATTCACGTTACCTAGTCATAACTTATATCACAGTTGCTCCTGCTCTGTGCAAGTCTTAAATTACTTGCATTTTTAAGGCCACAATTGTCACGAACACTAAAGTGACTCATAAGTTTTAAAACAGAAAGAAATAAGCCCACATTTGAGTTGCTGTCAGTACAATGACTGATCTTAAAATGCTTCTTCAGAAAGCTCATCTAAATTTTCTTTTTCCAGAACATTTTTAAGGTTTTTTGATTTTATCACTTTTGCTTACAAAAGTACTGTTGGGTTTACCTGCTTTCATCCAGGAACTTGGGCATTTCTACCTTAAGCTTTTGACTGGGCCTCAACACAGAAGTTCACACAAGTTTTCCCAGATCCAGTTCAGTCCCAAGGGACTGCTCTAATAGGTGTCGACTACTAACAGCTTGTGTGTATATGGATGCAGGGGAGAGCGAGTGCTTCTCTGTCTGCATCTGTGTACCTCTGTCTTGCTCTGACTCTGACAATGCCCCTTCTCCTCCCATTTGGGTCTTTCCTCCTTTTCATCCAAACACAACTATACATTTCACATTAGCACAACATGGAAACAGCTTCTAGAGTTTCCACTCTTTTCCCAGGATAAGCCTGAGGTAATAAGGGAGTTATTGTAAATAAGAGACTATGGCCCCAGTTATTAATGTGGGGTTTTAAGTAATGGGGTAGATACCTAATGGGGAATAAGTGACAGGATCTTCCCTGCTTTACATCTGGTGGACTTTCAAAGCTTTTAGAAAGGAGAATCTCTTACCTCCTGCCTCTCTATCTTCTACTTTCTCAAGGAAAACCAGCTGCATGGGTCAAAGAGATGCCTGTTGCAGTCTGATTTACAGCTCAAGTACTGGAAACCTTGTACAAGGACAGACAAAAAGATTCATGAGAGCAAAAGCTAGCAATATGTATCTGTCACAAGGAAAGGAATAAAGTATGCAATGAGATCTTACTAACCAATTACAGAAACACAGCAGACATGCACAGTAATAAATGTAACACATACCAGTATGCATTCTGTAGGGGCAGCTAGCATAGTTCAGACAAGATTCCTCTTCTCAGAAAAAGGGGAACTTTGGTATTGAATTAATAAATGACCCAATATGCCCTTTACACCCAACAGCTTCAGCACAGCACTGAAACCCTTCCTGGATTTCTCTAGGAGGATGATGATGAGGCCTACATATTTGGATAAAATGAGGTATTTTCGGAGGCATGCAGGAATTCAAAACAAATGCAGCCTTTGCATGACTACGCAGCTGCACAGATTTCTCAATACGAAGGCCAGGGATTTTCCAGCACTGTGAGAATAAGGCAACAAATGGATTGAAAGAAAAGAGATGCCCTTTCTGTGTAGGGGATCCATACGCACATTACGTAGGAGGAAGAGTCACAGAATTTTAACTGCTGACATATAGAGGTTCAGGTTTGTGGTTCAAGTACAAAAACAGGGGTACTGTTTCTGGGGGATCTGTGGCAGGATGTGAAAACTGAACAGCAGCATCGGAGACATGATTCATAGGGTATGTCTGCAAAATGGTGCATGCAGCAGGAATCTGAGATAATGAAGTGAGCTAGCCCTTGGTCTACAAAAAAAGTACAGTTAGTTAAGGGGGGAGGTGCTTTCTGCCTCATTTCAATTTCTCAAAATCTTTTAGCAATGATGACACCAGAATTCTAAAACATTGCATTAAAACTTATTTAGTCCTGATGTTAAATTCTCACACAGCTTTTTGGCTTACAATACACCCAAAAGGTATACGGCCTTTTAGACAAAGCATCAGGTAAGTCTGTATAGAATTGCTTGTTCACTCCACAGCCCAACTTTTCTCAGAGGTGCCTTAATTTTTTTCCCGTAGGTGTTGTCTTATATTGGGCTATATCCAAATAGTCCCAAATTAAGAAGTCTTAAGTCAGAGTACAACCAGGAGAGCCTTATCTGACCTCCCTGCCAATCCCTCTGGATGTCTGCGCTGCTCAACCACCAGCTCTTCAATCTGAGTTTATAGCTCAGAGTTCTAAGGTAAAGTGTCATTGTTTGCCTTAAAAATGCTGTTACAATATGGGAGGTGCCTCATGAGCTCCCAGACTTTTATACAGCCAATGTAAGACAGAAGCAGCTGCCTGTAACCTTTGCAGATGTCCCAGGCTAAGCCAGCCCCCCACGTCAGTCAGAGCTTGCAGTAAGCAAACCAGGCTGCTCCTGACCACTCTGTCCTCAGCAATATTTATACCTCTGCCCATCTCTCTCCGTCATATACAATTTCTTATTCAGAGACTTTATACTGACTTTCTAACTCTCACTATAAATCCTGAACATCATCAATGCTGTTCTTGCTC